TTCCTGACATGACTCAACAAGGCTTCTTGGCCAATGCACCTGCATGTGGCCAGCTCAAATGTCCACGCTGCACTTGAAGGACAGGCCCCAGTAACAGGAGCCCCAGAGTGACAGTAAACTGGCCCTGAGCTCACTACAACAGCACAACACAGCACTGACAGTGCTGTGGGAGAGCTGTTTAAATATGCAATGGGACCAAATCAGTGTGCTCCTGCTTGAAGTATTTTCTCCTGCAAAATAATTAAAACTTTTTTGAAAGGGCTGGATTAATAATGACAGTTTGGTGTATGGATTGATCTACATTTCTTTTATCTGTCAAATTAGTAAAAAACTGAGAACAGCTGTTTTACTCTTTGATCATATCTTCTTTGGGCTAGCTAAAAGATACATTCTAGTGCTAAACTGTTTGGATCGCCATGTAATGCTCAAAATAGAAACTACATTTGCTGTAGGGAGAGAATACTCTCTACTTAATGCTGCCACTCAGATCCCACACTGAGATGGACTCATCTGTCTTTTCACTTGTTGCTTAGTGACAGACAGCCAGTGGAGAGGTGAGCGTTATCATTTCTCATTGCTTGAAAATAGTGAATATTTTTCATTACGTGAAATATATTCTATAATATTATATTGACTATAGAGGTTTCCATGTGTCATGCACTATATGCACAGAAAACCCCAAAATACAGAGATGGAAGAATGTTTTGGAGATTTAGAGCATGAAAAATTGGTCTTTGACAATGTTAATGTTTCTGTATTTGTTACACAAGAAAACATGAATCGGGAAGCCCTATTCTCATATAATACTAATGGTGGGGCATTTACATTTTACATACAAATCATGAGACACGCAAAAAGAAACATGGGACACTCAAGTTCAAAGAGGTTTTACTTTTCTCATTTGCCCATCTCGGATATGCCCCAAAGTCTGGGTACTGTGTTCATGTCCTCCCAGTGTTCTGTTGACTCTATTTTACCAATAGCACAATAGCACAATGGCACATAAAAATAGATTTCAAAGCCACTTCTCAGTTAACTTCTCAGACAGGCTGTCACAATGGAAAAACAAATTATTTGAATGACCCAATACTTTCTCTACAAAGTTCTGGGGGAAACAGAGAACAATATCAGGCCTGTTTAGACGGAGACGCTGCAACAGTAAAACGCTATATGAATATCGGATTAGCCTTCTATTCGGCAACAGTGAAAACGGCGTCCGGAGGGGAACAAAACGACAACTGTGTAAAATTTCTGACTGTGGTGACCTCACCACTTCTCCTCCTTTACATGTGGACATGCCCAGTATTTGAGAACAAACGTAAACAACAATGGCGGCGGATCAGCAGTTACACGGAGGAGCAATTCTACTCCTTCGTCCAAACGAAACAACAAAGCTGTAGTTGCAGTTTCCATTTTTGCTGCTACAGTTTAGAGCAGAATGATATTGGTGCCTTCTTTCCCGTTTTGCAGTGGCCTGAGGAGGATGTTGTTGAGGAAGTGATTATACCTGTCGTGTTGTAAAGTTCCACTGCCCACTACAGGCCGGGCGCTAGAACTACAATGTTTTCCGTTGCCATGTGGACGCTTTCCACTTCAAATCCGGAGGGGGGTCATTTTTGCAAATTGCTTTGCAGCGTCTCCTTCTAATTAGGGCTTAAACGGGGCCTACGTGCTTCTAACACAGCGGATGGGGTGCCAAAAGAACCACTACACCAAAAAACGTGGGTATATGAATAATAAGGAAGCCAAACAAAATGCTTGTGTTCACCATAGGTGATCCACATAGTGTTCATTTCTCTTACTTAGCTATAAGAAGAGTTAATACTCACTGAATAATGTCACACATGGAGAAATTGAGACTACGTCTAATATCTCCTCCATCTGCTGCTGTTTGTCTGGGTGCTTATCCTACGCTATTTACAACATGTCACATTTTTTGAATAGGGCAAAGTCCTACATAATTACTGTCTGTAAATATCATAACCATAACCACAACATTGGCGCTGCCCAAAGGCTTCTCAAGGTTCTGCACTTGATTAAAGCTGTAATTAAATTAAGCCATAGACATGAATGACAAATTGCTAACAATAAGCCCACAGGACCGTTTAAATTTTAGTTTATCAAATACACATGCAGAATTTTCTTTTGACCAAGTTTAATTTTGAGATTTTTTTGTAAGGCGATGGTGGTTCTGGGAAGAATTTATTGTCTTGCCACACTTCACTAATTAACTTTTCCTTTGTACAAAAGATTGCATTCACAAGCTTAAGGTTAAGAGCCTAGTTATATAAGGCAGCTGAAAATATAAATATCATAAATAATTGTTATAATAGTACAAAAGTCATCTTAGTTTGTAGCTAATTTCTCTGTAATCCCTGGGCCTAACTACATGAAACTAAAACTGTCACAAAGGTCTACATCTTTTTTTGTCAGTACATATCAACTTTGGTCTCATTATTTTCTCTCAGGTGTCAAGAACATATGCATGATGTTGGTCAGCAGGAAGACTCTCAATTAAGAATATTATGTTGTATTTGTAATTTTTAACCACTATCAAATAATGATTTTATTTATTTTAATAAATAAATAAAATATAATACTCACACACATACAGTACACATGCACATGCACAAACACATACAGACACAAAATAAAATAATACATTTTGTAGTGCACAGATTACCCAACACTATGTAGGTATCATCCATGTATTGATTTTTTTACCTTTTTTTTTTTTCAAAGAGCATATCTCTAAACCAAAAGGTGTTATTACATTATTTTGGTCTTTTGGTACTAAAGAGTTGAGCCAATCGCATGGTGACACTCCTCAAAATGTGGCGCTTCTGTGCATTGTGTGCTAATGTCCCGGGCCGCTAGAGAATCCTTATGTCAACACTACCTGCACTAAGTCCCGCCTACTTTTCTACCTGTGTGGCTTTTGTCCCTATATGTGTTTTTGTGAGAGGCAGTGGGAGTGGAAATGTTCTCCTTCGTGACAATCAACGGCAGGAGAGCAGGTCTTATGCTGTCGAGATTCCAGAGTCAAAAGTTCCACCCACATTCTTCAAGTCACATGACATCGCAGCTATAGGAAGAACAAGGTAAATCCACAAATCTGAAGTCTGGGTGGCTAACTCTGGTGTGTTGTTCATCCATCTTAGCTGCTTTCTAAGTAAAAGCTGACTCGATGACCCCTGCTATGCCATGACCTCCCTTCCCAGACCCCCTCTTCACCTCTCTTCTACTATTTGCCCAATGTGATCTATCAAGTGCCACTTCCTTCATTTGGCCGTCAGCGCGTCTAGAATCACTTCCACTCATGGAAAATAAAAAATGCTGAAGTGTGGAGAGAGAAATTGCTGATTCTACGTAAATCAGCCTAGAGCCATCCTGCAACAGGCCTGCTCAAACACACAAGGCTGGGAAAGAGCTCCTTCTGAGTGGATCATGAAACAATGTGTTCCTAATCACGGGATTGTTGACATTGCAGTAGCCTTTGCAACCTGGGCCAGTTCATTTCACAGCCATCATGTTGTCTAAATAAGGACCTTTGTAAATGGTCTTGTCTGAACATGTTTAATATATAAAATTTCATTTCCGAAACAATGAAAATAATATCACATTTCTGTCCCCTCCCGGCTTTAATTCTGAAATTGTTTCGGTGTATTGTTTTCCTCTAAGCTATATGCATGGTTAATATGATATATATTTTTTGTATACATTCCAAAAACTACAAAACATCTGTTAATGTTTATGTCGTCAGGAATCTATAAGCCCAAGCATTAGTGAGAAACTACAGAAAGTAAAAAAAAAGTTTAATCTGACTTTCTTTGTCCACCTAGTGTTGACACATTTAATCAAAGCCTGCATAAGACACATTGTATTGAGAAAAACCGCCTAAACTATAGATGATTTATTCATTTTATTATCAAATAATAACTAGCTAATTATTTTGGGTCATCTCATCTGATTGTCATGTGAGGAATAAGGCATTGCTTCATGTCTCTAATGTTCTCCTGGGAGATTTCCTCATTACGGAAACAATCTTCCTCGCCCTCCAAATGGTTCAGCTGATCTGTGATAATTCATATAGCTCCCAAAATGTATTTTTCCCCCAAGCCTCATTTGCTTTGTTTGCTTGTATTGTGACATCATTACCAATTTGCACTCACTCAAGACTCCGGCTCAGAAGCATATCCAATATTTTACATCAGTTTGGACAATAGTGTCTTTCAAATAGGGCGAAAGAGAACATCACATGATAAATGATGCTTACACTGTGTGATCAACAGAGGATGTGCAACTGACAGAAGACTCTATAGTAAATACATAAGGGGTTTATTCAGCTGTAATGGGTTTGGCACAGCTTGGCCTCTTCGAAGCTGTTTAATTAGACTCTCTCTGGCTGTAATTATATCCTTTTAGACTGCCACACATCAGAGTGATCAGATGAATTGCAGAAAGTCTGTAATCACCACGCTGGCTGTCACTGAGTGGCTTACACCATTACTGTAATACAGCGCATGCACGTCTTGTCCCTGCTCTGAGTAAACTTGTTTATCTGTAAGAATGATCCGCCATTCCCTTCAGCCCTCGCATGCAAATCCCCTCAAGATCGGACGATTATTGGCCAATAAATTGCGATTCTGTCTCAAACAGTTTAGCCAGAGTCGCGCGACAAGACTCATAAATTACATAAGCGCAATTAAAGTGCCAACCTCTGACCTTGCTTGACCGGCCAGCCAGCGCCAAGATCACCTGACTTTTGTGTAGTTTGGCTCTGAGGTTTGCACTTCAACTCGCGCAGCGTTCACAACAACAGGCGAGAAAGAGAGTTTGAGGCGATAAAAACATCCAGCGAGCCACACACTAGATTCAGTGCGTAAAGTCCGCGCACTCGGGTGGAAACCACAAGACGAAGCAGCGCGCTGTCTTCGCACAACAAACACGGTGGATGAAAAGATAAGCCTGAAAGCTCGGCGATCGGGTCTTGTACTCACTGAGGTGTAAATATGGATCATTACTGTCCATATTGTGGGAGTTGTGTCGTTTTCCTCGAGTCTCTGCAGCTCCGCATCCCAGCGCATTCCTCTCGTAGCCCGACTGAACTCTGCAAGGCGGCTCTACACACTGGGGCCCAGCGAGGGGGGGGCGGCCGCGATCAGGGCTTCTCCCAATGACAACAGTGTGGTCTTTACTTCCACGGCTCTATCAAGATCCAACACGATTTGTGGGGAGAGATGGGGTGTGCGGTGTTGCTCCTGTTGGAAAATACATCACGTATTAGGCAATTTAATGAACAAAAACATCCCGTTTCAAGCGTTTGCCTGCAACTACAAAAAATAAATACTAACAAATTCAGAGCTTGATATTTAAAAATGGGACACCAAGCTAATCTAAAATGGATATATGGAATAAAATCAATCTCTTCCTGTGGGTCTCGAAAAAGTTTCTACGACTCGTTTTCACATCTATTTTTGGTCTAATCTTTATATCGGCTTTAGCAGACGGAAAAGTGAAAAGAGGGGACCACTCTCACTCAGATCTCAGCCCAAAGCGTTGAGCAGTTTGTGGACTGATTTGTTCACACAAGATGAAAAACAAGTTCAGGAGACTCTTTCTGTTGGTACAAAAAACACCTTTTTTTTCTTTTTCATATAGTGTTTTGTTTTCCAACTAAGTCTAAGAGTGTGGATGCTGACAGATCCCGAACGCAATCCTGTGTTTTGTTTTTAGTCTTATCCTGCGTTTGTTGAAACGTCGCCCTGTCACTGTGTCAGTGTTTATCTCGGGCTGGCTGTGGGCCTGGTCTGGGTACCCCCCGGAGCCCCCCCACACCCCTCTTTTGCACATGGGGTCATCTGGGGGTGAAGCCGCGGTACCTCTCAGGGTTATTCAGGAGTCATTGCTCTGAAGTATTCACAGCGTTGAACTGCGGCGCGACCAGACGCTCCGTCAACGCAGGCTGCTGACCAGTGACCACTCACGCCCCCGCTAATGGGACAGGCACCCACAGCTCCGCCAGCCTTGTAACAGGGTCCCATAAAGGAGCACAGGAGGATGCTAACCAAGATGAATGGCGTTTTTTCCCTCAGCTCATTCTGTCCTAATCAGAGCTTTTCATTTGTTATGGCCTCGCGCCAGCCCCTCCACAGCAGCCTCCATTAGGCCCACATAACATATAAATTCATTAAAGTCACAGGGAGACATTACAATTGCCATTTGTCACACCTCTCTTTGTGTGTCCTAATGGAGGCGCATGGTTCAAAGCATTGAGATGATGTTTGGTTGGCTCCTTTTGGGCCAGCAGTGCATTATAATAAGGCTAACGTGGGAACTGGAGGTGTTTTATATAAGATAAGGTAGGAGTACAAAAATATTAGCCAAGATTAAACGTTGTCCTATATTGTTTTTATTGGTTTACCACACAGGTAGCTAATTGCTTGGTATAATGGTGTTTCATGGCTATAATGATCCATAAATCAACATGTGATCTTTAGCCCCCTACAGCAGCACACATTCAGGCAGGGGGGCACCCTTTTGCACTAATCCCTTTGTATTCACATCACCATTCCCAACAAACAATACTTAATCCCAAAGCAGAATTCACAAACCTGTGCCACCTGCCCCTAGAAAAGACACCAGTCTGTTGCCATCGCCTCACTGCCCTAAACCCCTAATATCACAGGCACTTGGCATCCACCTCTGATCTGATTTTTGAGTTTGTCGTTGACTTCTGGATGATGATCCTGGCTCGTTGTCATGGGACCTTGATTTCTCCATCTGCCTTCTCTGTCATTAACCCATCTTCATCAGGCTTTATCAGGGAGGACCCCCACCACCATACGCCACTACCATTGCAGAGCCCTTGACACCCCTGGCCCTTGCTCCCTCTCAGCCTGCGATGATAAGTGTTGTGTGTCTTTGTGTCGGCCTGGAAAAGACAATGCCACACAGAGCTTCAGAACATCATCCATCTCAGGTCTGACACACAAAGGATGAAACAGGCTACTGAGGGGGGCTCTTTGTGCTTCTCCTTTTTCACAACTGTTAGGTTATTTACAAATAAACACAATATTTTAAATTTATGGAAAATAGACTTATGTTAGGTTTTGGCTAATTTATATACGTATTAGACATTTTTATTTATTTTATTTTTTACATATTTTTCCAGCACATCATTTAGTTAATCTTAAGGGGATTTAAACTATATAGTCTTGAACTCAAACCAAGAGTATGCCTTTATGACATACTGTACAGTCTGAATATGTACGATGTGACAGGGGCTTTGACTTTAGTTATTCAAGCATATGGAGTCATCAGGCCACTGCATCTGGAGTGACTCACTCAAAAGCATGCTATTATGATTGCACAATAAAATGATTGACCTACAGCCCATATGAAATTCTCACATACATATACAGTATGTCTGTTTATATTTAGCCAACAATGTTTTCTATAGCTACCAGGATCTCACACTATTGCTGATCTTGTGACCACAATATCACTTGTCAGCAGTAAAATAATAATTCCTCCTCGGCACAAAATGCATTGCTACGTGACCCTCCCCATCAGGCTCTTTAAAACATGACATTTGCACTTTTAGAAACAGTATCACTAAAATGAGAATATCCGATACAGCATTTGGTGAACAATTCTTGTTATTGGCCAGGACAAAATTAGTTTACTGGCCTGGAAAAAAAAATAATAATATAATAAATAGATCATGCTAATATTTAAAGTACATACCGTATATTGCAAGCATTTAATATAATAATATAATGTAGTGAGCTCTTTTAAGATTCTGTCTTCCCATATCTTCACAAAAAATAACTTTTCATATGGTGAGGTTTGTCCCAAATACCATGAAATGTGATCTTGTTAGGGTTTTCCTTCATGGACAAATGTACTGCACCAGTCCAGCAGAGAATAAACAGACCACCTGAGGTATACGACCTAAAGTGCATGTGGCGGATTAAGTCTACAGTACACCTGCCTTTGATTTTAGCACGCCTATACTGGCCATATATACAGACATCTTGTTTTCTTTTTTTTTTTTTTTTAGAACTTACATAGATAGCTAGATAGATACTTTATTGATCCCCCGAAAGAGAACTTCAAGTGTCCAGTAGCAGCAAAAATAAAAATTAAATAGATCATTCTAAAAATATAATAATCAGCAACAGCCCTTTGTTTCCTCATTTTCTTAACATGAGGAAATGTTGAGAAAATATTTTGAGGTTTACGTGACAAGAAAACTATTATGTAAATATCTAATCATGTTTAATCACAACACATGCACTAACTGCAGCTTTAATCTTTTCAATGTGTGTGTTTCATACGTGAATGACCTATGCTTTTAGTTCTCATAATATTGTAGTATACATGTATTGTGCCCATAGATGTGTGTACTGGTCTATGTTTGTGTTGTCAGAAATTCTGTTCTGTCCATGTTTGCATTGTGTAACATCGTAGTTTGGTCCTCGCTGACACCCGTACACTTAAGTCAGACGTGTATCTCCACCGAACAGGAAGCAATCGCCAAAACAACAGCTCACAGATCATTGAAGACTGTCCGAGTGTATGAAGAGAACTGACTTTTGACAACAGCAATCTACTCTTATCACCTTTGGATCGTCTACTAATGAATTCAATAGAGAATGGCATCTGTTTCCGCGTTAGAAAAGCCACAACACTCTCCTGTGATGGATAACGAAGCTGGAAGCATCTCTATCGACCAGGGAGGCGAGTGGGGTAAGACGTAGATATTTTATATACTTTAGATACCAAAAACATTATTAAGGGGGTTTCTGTGGGGAATATGTCGTTAATGTATAACTAGATCACCATTTACATATTCTCCTAAAACGCATATGGCATTAGCTGAACTAGCTTTTAGCATATTACCATATTAGCCACCCCCAACGTGATGACGTAACGGGTCAATGCTACAAGTAATAGCCATGGATCTATAATAATAATAGCTTGTAAACACTACTTGTACAGGGATAATGTCAAACAACTTTGAAACCTTTGCCTGTATTCTGTATTTGTTTATGACTCTAACATGGATCTATAATAATAATAATAATAATAATAATAATCTAATAAGGAATCTAAACGTTCACATTTTACGTTAGTTATATTCACATAATAGTTAACGTCAATTACGTAGCGTTAATGATCTAGCTAAATTTAAGGTTAAACTTCTAGTATTGATTATTATATTTATTTTCCCATTTTGTTATTATTATTAGACTTCAGCCTCTTTGATGAACTGGATCACTTGGGAGATGCTGATGAGTTGCTAGATGCCCTGGAGCATGCAGACTTTGTAAGTTTCTTATTTTCCTATTATGCAAAAGAGACCAACATTTGTTCTCATAGTGCACCTGCTCTGAACTGCAAAAGGTTTCTGCATTTGCTCTTAGTTCACAGATGTGTGATGTAAGGCACATATGTCTTTCTTTCTCAGACTATATTTAAGAAAGTGTGCGTTCTGCTGACCTTGTTTTGTCAGGACTTAACATGGCAAGCTTTTACAATTCATGCAACTAAAATATGGAACACAAAATGTGAAACAGGCTTCTGCTTTGATAATGTTAAGAGTTCAGAGATTCAGAAAGCCAGGTTAAAACGTTGTATACAACTTACTATTCTTAATGTACATTTATTTATGTTTTATCTGTGTATGGATTTAATGTTTCATATCCTGTCCTTGTTTCAGGCCACTGAAGTACCAAACCTATATTTTGATATTGACATACCCCCTTGGAATGAAGTGGACACACAGAGCACCTACACAGGTACCTCATTCCTTTTTGCATGTTAAGTCCAACTATAACTGTATCAAGTCTTACTGCATACATTGCTATTCACACAATTTGCAAAGAGGGTGCCTGTGAAAACAATGGTATCTTTAGTTTAAGGTTTTATATTGCTACAAAGAAACACATAAAAAAACATAAAAACTCATAATCTAACACACGCTGTAAAAAAATAAATAAAGGGCATCCAGAGCTGCTCTTCCTGACCCACCCACTACTAGCTCTATATCACTGGAAGTACAATCTCTGGTAGACGGTGTTTAGTCTAGTGCTTTGCATTCTAAACTTATGTTAGTCATGGTCTTCAGTTTGTTGAAAAAGTTAAAAAATAGATTGGTCTCTCTGTGTTCTACTGAGAGATATTATTTTCCTAATAAAGTTCTTTGTGTGTCCTTGACTCCAGATGGCGAGGTGAGTGTGGCCTCTCTGTCACCTGCACACACGTTGAGCTCAGTCCCCTCTCCCTCCTCTGTGGAAGCACTGTCCCCATACTCCTTGCACGTAAGTGACTGCTTTCAACACGTTCGCAACTTCTATGTGTATAAGCGCAAAATTCTTAACCATATGGTGAGTGCAACAGCTGTTCCATGGAAGATCACTCTTGAGACCTTTAATAACAATATCCTTAAACACCTTGTCATATTTGTACGTTGGTATCCATCTGTTCTACGGATGTGTCTTTACTTTGAAAAAGGTGTCGACAACCTGAAACATATTAGCATAATTCAAGAGGCAGATGTTTACACTGTGTCATAATAAGGACAAGGGTAAAGTTTTATCTGGCGGTAGCTTAGCCTAATCTTGTATTTAAGAGACATAACACAAATACATAATATTTAATGCTTTATTATGTTATTGTCTATTATCAAGGAAGTGTAGAGATTTACTTTCACTGTTGTATTTTATTTTTATTCAGGATGAAGCTCTTTCTCCAGGATCAATTTCTTCTCCAGCATCAGTTTCCTCAGAGTCCAGTGGGTTTTCTGAGGCAGTTAATTCAACAAAAAAAGCCCCGAAAAGGAGCGTACCGCGAGGTGAGCACTCTTTCTAGTACTAAGGTTCTTCTTAAATACAGTTTTTTTTATCTTTAGACTTATCAACAAAGAAAGTACCATAAACAGACTATTTAGAAATTAATACCAATCTGTGTTTTAGTTTTTCTGTTGCAAATATTGATATGAAATATATTTTGTTGATTTTTGCTTGTTTTTATGTTTTCCAGACAAGACTTCCCATTCAGTTAAAAGGCCGATTCAGTTCGGACCTAAGGTTTCTATCAAGCCCAAACCCCTGATAACAGCAGTGCCCTTGACCCATGCCCCGGGTCCCCTGCAGACTAAGACCATCATTATCCAGCCACTGCAGACCAGTCTTGTGCCTGTGGTCAAACAGACCCCTGTCAGCATTCAACCAGCGCCACCTCCAGGTCAGGGCACAACATTGCAATATAAATAGTTTAGTCTGTCATTTTCGTTAATGTCATTGTTGAAAATTATTTTTGATTTAAAAAAAAATCTGCAGACACTAAATCCAGTCAAATTGCATTGCGTTAAAAATTATTGTGGCACAAAGGTTTTGACTTTATTTTACAAGTATGACCAGCAGAGGGAGCTATTTGCCCAATTATATTCATGACTGATTCCAGCACTCTCTTTAGTCAGTCAGTGGTCTCCAACCTTCCCCCAAGCCACAGTTTGAGAACTTTAGGCTCATGGGTAGTGTTCTTTTTTGTGGTTTGGCCAGTTTGGTTCACTGTCTTATAGCCTGGCTGTGATGTCATTAGTGCCATAGCCAAAAGTAATACTTGTGTCATGTCATGTCGTGGCTTTGGATGGAAGTGGGTGGAGTGTTTGACCTTTGGATTTTCTCTTTCCTGTGGCTCAGATATAGTAGATGAGAACTTCCTTGACACTTTCATGTGTCTGAAGTAGATGTGTGGTGTTTTTACCACAAGCCCCATACATTCCTAATACAGGTGGAGAGTTTGTTGAAGATAAAAAAAAGTGAAGTTGGTAAAACCGCCATTCATTAGCGCTGCTATGTCATAACAATTGGTCCTGACAGGTTGTTTAGAGTTGAGGTTTCCTGGGCTGTTCAGAGAAATGGTTCCTGGCACTATTTTTTTGTGGTTGGTTTAACTCTTCAGGGACACATTTTTTCCCACATCATTTGTATTTCTTTACTACATTTTTGTAATTTTTCTTTCTACTTTTTAATATTGATTGGATTGGCATTTTTGGTGTCGTTAGATTTCCTACAAATTTGTTGGTAGGCACTATAATTAGTTGTATACACATTGCCTCCCCTCTTCCGTCAATCTTAAAGACGCTCCAGTAATTACGATGATTAAAGGCTCTTATAAGGTAATCTTTAAAAATGTTGTGTTATGTCTGCTCGGAGATATTGAACGGATTGTTCAACAGTACCGCTCATGCTTGTGTTATCTCCACTCCTTTTGGCCAACCAACTCTCTTGAGTTAAAAACAAATGACAAACTTTCATTCATCACTTCCATCACCATGTTAGTTGGCTCTGAAATGGCGTTTGTTCTCGTGAGATTTTGTTTCCCATCCAATCTTGGAATTAAATTGTCTTGTGTGTGTGGCTGCACATCACATACTGAACGACCAACACAGTTATACCTCTGATTTTCTTTTCCCTGTGTGGCGTCTCTTAGGTTACCAGGCGGCACTGAAGTTAAGCACGGAGTGTGGGGGTTCAGAGCACATTGGCAGAGATATTTGGTGAACAGTGAAAATGCCAAAGGTCAATGGAGCTCCTCAGAAGTATTGTTTATTGTTGGTGGATTAACATTTTCATTTAAAACATCAACATGAATAATAGGTTGTGGATTATAGTCGCAATATCAATTTGACTCCCTTGCATAAAGACAGTGTTGATAATCATACAGCTAGCACAAATATGATTATGGGCCTGCTCTCTGTAATAGCTGTGTGTGTCTCTTCTCAGGACGCCCTGTAGTGCTGTCTCAGCCGGGACAGGTGCTGCACATTCAGGCCTCACCAGCCTTCGCTGCAAATGTGGTCTCCATACCAACGCTCAGTTCAGACAGGCCCATCCCAGTTGCTGCTCCTCCACTGGTCTCGGTCAGCCTCTGCAGCCCCTCCTCAGATGATGACGTGAGTCCTGATTTTCGATGGGTGATGCACAATCCAACCCCATGTAATTAAGAATCCAGAACCTATGTCAAGGTTGATCCTGGACTCCTAACCCAAACCCTAATCAGATTAACTAATGCAGAGAATCTCTAGGTCCTCACAATACAATACTTTATGCAATGCATCTCTCGTGACACAATACAGCAATGGTTAATATAATGCTGAACTATTAACAATACTGCACTTAATGTCCCATCCAGAAGTTAGTTTATTGCTCTGGTTTTCTCATGGCTGCTGAAGTGCGATTGCGTAGATATCAAACCTGTTCGTTGTAGGTCTGAGTGCTGCTGTCAAAAGCCCTGCATACAGTGTAAAATACAGCTGCAGAGGCAGAACTGCCTGCCCTTTTCTAGTTATGGTTTGTAGGACTTAATTCAGCTGCCTAAAGCAAAATGATTTTTCCTAGGCTTGCGGTAGACCAAGACATCAGCCTCGATCTATCCTCTTCAAATTTGATAAAACAGAATTCTAAGTCCTGCACTCCCCTGGGGGATCTGACCCCGAGCCTCTCCTGCTCTAGTTCAGGAGTAGCCAAATATTTGTAATTGAGGGGACAAAATTAATACATATTGTCTTGCCAAGGGCCAAATGTTTTTTGGTTTGACTATTTTGATTAAAGGGTTGCATGAAGCAATATTGATGTTGTATTGATGCCAGTATAAGAACATTTGTTGGATCAGGTACCAGTCCTTTGATATTGGTTGAGTCAATATTCTAAGGACTTTCAATTAATGAAACAAGACTGTTGACTGGTTGATAGCCCACACCGTCTTAGTTGTAACTCTGTCACATACAGAGTGAAAGATTGGTGCAACCTTTATTAGAATCTCCGTAATTAATGTTTTTTTCAGAGACAGGACTAGTTTAGTTCTATTTGCCATATTTTTGTATTTATTTGGTTAGGACAGTACATGTTAATGAACACATCACTCCGGATTGTAGCCATGGGCTAATTTGCATCCGTTGTCCCACATTTGCACTCATAAACACACACTCATTCACCCTGAACTATTGCACATGTTTTTAGTGGTAGGGGAAACCGGAGTACCCGGAGGAGACCTACGCAGACACGGGGAGAACATGCAAACTCCACTCAGAAACACCCTGTTCCGAGTTCTGTGAATGTGATCAACATAGAGTGCAAATGTCACCACCCGTTCACGGGCCCCACTTTGGGAACCCTATAGATAGTTTGAGCAGTAAGCAGTGATCAATAACTCTGCAAAATGCTCATCTTCAAACATAGACAATGACATGAATGCACACACAACATGCGAACACGCCTGTTTTACAAAAATAAAGTGCAAGAGCAACATCATACATGAAGCTACCAGCCTTACTGCTGGGACCTCTGTGACTTCAGCTCAGACGAGCTGAAGCCAAATCACATGGTGTCTGATAATATTCTTCAGTAAATTGTCCCGTTTGTATGAGGCCATGTGACTTTCCCCGGATGTCTGCGTGGGAGACTTATTTAGCCCTGCTCACAGCGGACCGAGCCGGCCCTGGCCTTGCATAGCCCGCTTTAGCAGCTCAATACTATTCAGTTTAAGAAGCACACTGGGCAGATCTGTGCATAGTCGAGGCCATGTGAAAACGCCTCTAGTTCATCTAAAAGTGCTGTTGGTGATAAGTACAGTATACAGTACTGTATTGTCCCTGTGTTTCTTGCTGCACAATGTTCTGCCTTGAGTGTAGCAGCTTAAGCCCTGGTGCTGACCGGCTGCTAAACGATTACATGCTGCAGACAGGTGCTGTCCAGGATGAGTGCTGGTGACAGCTGTAAACAGTGATCAGGGGGAGTGACACTGAAATGAGAGGTTCTAATAAATACACCATCATCATGCTGGGGGATTTGTGTAAAACTGCAATTGACATGTTTTTCTTTACAACAAAAGCAGATATCAGACATGAAGAAGAGACATAACATAATTTCACAAAATGAGTGGAGGTTAACGCGAAAAACATAATTGAACCTTAACCATTATAAGTATAGACGATATAATACAAATATATAACCAATTTTCTGTTAAACTTATTAGATACGTTGCACTGAAATCATAGACACACTGTAGTACAATTTGGCTTTTCTTAAAAAACTTTCTGACAACAATAATATTAACAGTGATAATTTTGTTCAAAACATGTGCAGTCAAGGACCCGGTATTGACGAAAATCATTATGCATTGTGTGTCCTCTGTGAGTGTTCTGGAGCCATTGGTTTCAAGTCCCCCCTCATCTTATCGCCTTGGTAACGGCTCCCCAGCACTGTTTCCAGACTCAAGCCTGTGGCACCGCTTCCAGATCAGGACATGCAAACACTGCGACCACTGCTTTCTCACAAGATAGATTTTATTTGATCTTTTATGGTCTATTATACAATTAACAATATCTGCACATAAAGGACAGGAGGATAGGATGCAGACTTTAGTTTTAGACATAATTATTAAAGATCCCATATCCTCAACATGATCTAAGGCTTACACCATCGAAAATTATATACTTTCAGGTTTTCAGATCATTAGGCTCAACACCCGTCATTTCCAAAACTCATTTAATTTGGTAGCCTATTATCCAATGTGTGGATTATACAAAATATAACTAATGAACAAAGAAACTGTTGACTGTGTGATCTCCTTTAAAACAGCTTTTTTTTAAGTGCATACTTATTAGTTTGTTTTTTGCTTTTGTTTTCAGTCCAAGTTGTCCCAGAGGCAACAGCGAATGATAAAGAACCGCGAGTCAGCCTCCCTGTCCCGGAAAAAGAAGAAAGAATATCTGCTGTCACTAGAGGCCCGGCTGAATATGGCACTATCGGAGAATGAGGCCCTCAAAAGCGAGAATGGCAACCTTAAGAGGCAGTTGGAGGGCCTGCTGAGTGAGGTGAGAGGAATGCTCAATATAAAACTAGGGCTGTGGTGGTGAAGAAGGCTTGAAACATCTTGCACTACTAAAGAAAATAGTCATGAGGTGTCTTCTTGTTTTCCTCAGAACACTGTGCTAAAAACAACAGCCCCCAAGAGGAGAGCTGTTTGCTTGATGGTCGTCGTGGTGTTCCTTGTCTTCAATCTTGGACCCCAAAGGTAAAAAAACACTTTCTCTTTCCCTTTTGCTGTTCATGATAACAATAATACCAATACCGACTCCAATATACAATACAAACGTTTAGACAGTTTCTTTAGAGCAGGCTTGACCAAACTTATGCCTGTGAACATATTGCAGCCCTCGCGAACTTCAGCTCTTCAAATATACATGCTACACATCGTTGGAAAGCTCTAGATACCAGCCGTTGATTCTATTTGTATATACTGACATTTGTTTTTGATTGCGTCAGAACATTTTAAATGGATAGACAGATAGATACTTTATTGATCCCCGTTGGAGAAATTCAGGATATGGAATTATGTGAGATCGTAAACATGTGTCACTCAGCCAACTCCATCTTTGTCAATCAATATGAACATCTCATACTTCATTTTAAAAGATCAGAGCAGCCCCAATCCTGATATCCCTGCTTTAGAGCTAAAGTAAATTCACACATATTGACGATGATCATTTTCTCAGGTGTCTAAAAGTGGTATGCATGGTTGGCTAGATGGAAGGATAAGAGTAATATGTCAATATCAAAATATGCCTTCAAATTCGAAATTCTTTTTTATTTTTTTTATTTGCACCTGTCTTGTCTAGAACATGAACGCAACTTATATAGGCTAACTTACACTGGGTCTGGACCAGTGGGGGCGGGTCCCAGCTCAAAAGTGGCCAAAATGACGTGCGCTGACATGCTTGCAATACCATCCCGGGCCGATGGGGGTGGACCCAGAAGAAGAATTAGCCAATGCTAACATATAGCATTTGCAGACCTCTCAAAAACGTCTTTACAGGATGGACCAAAAGTTGGCTCTTGGTCCAAAGCTCCATTCCACATGTGTGTCAGTGCTGAGGGGGGTGATTTTTTTGGTCCACTCTAGTTTACTTGCTGTAAATTTTTGAAGTCTCCCGTTCAAATGAACGGAGCTGCGCCGGCTAACGCATGCGCAGATGCGTTTTTTTCACAATTTTCTTGTGGGCAGGACCACTCGCGGCCATCTTGGATTGCTCCATGAAAGCACTTTTCATGGCCAACTCCTATGAACGGCGGAGATAGGCGTGACTCTGTCCATTAATATATACAGTCTATGGTCTGGACTAGGGGTGGGGTGGGTGATGCATTCACTTTCGCCACTTTGCTCGTCTGCCTTCTGTGCAGCGCTCGCCTGCTCACGCCCTCCTTCTTGTGTTTGCTCCAAGATATATATCATATATCGAGATATAGAAAACTATATTGAGATATATATTTTTTTCTCCATATCGCCCAGCTCTACTCTGGACTCTTTGCAGAGCAGTCACCTTTTTATTTTTAATGTTACAAAACACACTGAGCATGGCGCTGCGGATGAAAGATCATGATTTTTCTTTTTTGCTGTGAATAAAGACACATCTCTGCTCCGTGATGACAGACTCGAACACTGTTGTATTGTGTGAGTGGAGGCACCAGTGCAAGAGAAGACAGAGAAAGCCCAACCTCCTCTCCAGAGTTTCACTCTGCAGGAAAATCCTTCTAGTCTATCAATATACTCACTACAATCTGCTTTTAACCAGCGCCTTTCCTCTTCTCACACCGCCTCACATAATGTACAGGTTTTTTTTGTCATGTCAGAAAAAACATGCGCAAGTGTTTTACAAACTTCAAATAGTCATGCTGCGAGAAGGACAGTGTGTGTTGTTATGTATGATTAGCGCACAACAAATAGAAGTTGAGGTTATGGGTTTGTCACTTACTTGCATCATTCTTACATAAAGGAAAAATAAACTTCTTTAAGATGAGGGACTGGAACAACAAAACTCATGACTTTTGTCTTTTTTCTGCATAATATCTCATTCAAGAAATATGTATATGCAAATATGCAAGATAACCATAACAACACTTTGAAGTCAATAATGGAAGTAACTGTTTTGGTCACATTTTCTTAACAACCACACAATGACGGGCTGCAAAAACATCTGTTCCAATATAGTGTTGGAACTCTGAGACTGCTCTGAGTTCATTGTGCAATTTCATAACACCAGAGTTCACCTCCAAACACAAACCGTGAGATAAAGCCTCTGTTCTCATGTTGTAAAAATGTTTGCTTTCTTCTGGGAGTTACTTTCCCCTAAAACTTCACAAACATTTATTTAGTCTGGCAATGTTCTTTCATAATCTGTCAACTTTTTCCTGGGAACTTGTTCTGCCGTTCATTATGTTTGGTGGAGCTCATTATGAACAGAGTTGTGAATGCTTTTGCTTTTGTCGACACAAACGTCTGCCTGTGTCTGTACCTGCACTCACATCTGTAGGATTGTGTTCGGGCTGTCCTCTGGAATGTAAATACGCCTGATTCCTTTGAAAAGAACACAACACTTTGTTCATGTTATACTCTTGAAAGGCTTGTGTGTATTTTCACTTAAGTGTCTGAGCCCAGTGCGTCCTAAGCTATGCAGTCTAGATCAGAGTTCACATTTGACTTGTGGCTTAAAGTGAAGAACCCTCCTGTGCACAGGATGTGAGCAGCAGGGGATTCGGCGGTCATTTCAGTCCAGCAGTACTGGCCAAAGTCAGCTCTATTCTTTCATCTGCTGCTCTGTCCCATGTCTTTTACTCACCATCTCTCTCCACAGTCTGTTTCAGGGTGGCCCTGGGTCCAACCTGGACATTGTTTCGACACAGCACAGCAGCAGGCACCTGCTGGGCTTACCAGAGGCTCAAAATGAAGTCATGGGCTCAGAACCTCAGCACAGGGGCCCCTCTGACAGGTAACCTATTTAGGCCCCAACTTTTACGATTGTTTTTATTCAACACAGTGAAGTGCAACTGAATTCTGAATTTTGAATCATCACTGTATAAACATATGCTCCAGCCTTTAATTGCAAACCACATTAGCAAGCTTTCTGTCTTTGTGATGCGACCAAATCATGTGTTTCATGTGTATTCAGTAAGATTGGAAAAACAAGCTGGTTACTCAAAGGTGAATCTTTTTTTTTTTTTTACATTTGAGCGGGTAAATGAGAAAGGGGACACTCTTAGTATAGCTTGTGTATAATGGCCAGCTTGAATAACTCTATACCTGGCCTGTTGAGCATGTTGTGTGAGGTGGTCCACATTCTGCAGTGATACCAGCCTGTGTTCTGTCCGATATGAGGGTAGGGTGCGTCACACACTAACACAAACCATTTGTGTGCCGTCTCAAGTTTCTTTGCAGCACTGAAAGCAGCTCAGACAGGAAGGAACACATTAGCCCTTACAAAGGGGTGACAGCCCTGAACACGGCAGAGTGTGACGGTAAAGATATGCAACCTAACCGGAGGGTACCCCCTAAAAACAGGGTGCCTGTGTGTGTGCTAGGTTTATTATGGCCCCTTCTCTTCGGGCAGCTTTGTTTTTGACATGTTGTTCCAAGAAACCATTTCCAGAACATGAGTTTGAAGGAGGTGTAGTTGGGAGGCCCATGAGGGCAGGTTTTGTCAGATGGGTTTTGTCTAAGCCTGGGCAGGTGGGCACTGCTATAGATGAGGTACCTCACAATTACTCAATTAGTTGAAGGACTGTTATTATACTGTAGGTGATATGTGTGTTTTAATAGTGTAGTAATGTAAGGATTTTGGTCATTGTTTAATTTTGACTTCCATTGACATTTATATATGTCTCTGGACCCTCTGACTCCCTCACTGTATGCAATGCATAGCCTATGACATGATAGTATCATGATATTATCATATATGGGTTCTTGATAAATTTCTCATTATAGTTGTCAACAAAATATCGCAATATTTCCCAACCAAACCAAATATTGACGTCAGATGTACTATACATGCTAATGTGCTATTTAGGCCATTTTGGATGGATATTGCTAATAGACAAAGTGTGTCTTCTGAAGGTATTTTGAACACATGGGTTTGGATATTAATTTGTGGGGGGGTTGTTATGAACAAAATGAGTGCCGGTGCTAGAATTGAAACAGAAATGGAGGTAAAGGCTGTGTTTTGTTGTCTAAGTTTGTAGATTTAGATAGATAGATAGATAGACCTTTATTGTCCCCTGAGGGAAATTCATTTTCACAGGCACTGTCACATACAGTTTAGCTTTAAAAATGACTATTAATTAATTATTAATTAATTAAAATACTTTTTTTTGCTAGACTTCATTCTTGATTATAGACTCCCATTAATTTAAATATTACCTACCGGTGGGTCTGGGGGATCCCAAGAGGTTAATAAAGATATTGATACTTGACAAAAGCGTTTCAACAATCGATCCTGGGAGAAGAAGTCACACCTCTACGTTTATATTGATGTTTTTAGAATATCCATCCATTTTCCTCCCCTTAATCCATTTCTGGGTTGGTGGGGTGGCGGTCAGAGCTGTAATTTCCCTTTTTTATTTATTGTTCTAGTTCTGAGGATAAAGCTTTAATGGTGATGAAGGACTTTCTCAGACCTCCTCCTCCCTGCCAGCCTCCTGTCAACAAAACCAAGTGCTTGGAGTAAGTTTGCCACACAACATGGCCTGTGCGCTTCCTGAAACGTCTCCTCAAATACTTTAAATAGCTCCGGACAGCTTAATAATGACCCTTTTGATTGGCAGATTGGCCCACGAGCTCAGGGGCTGGGTCCACCGTCATGAAGTGCAGCAGACCAAGTCCAGACGCATGAGTAACAACAATTACAAATCCACTCGGACCATTCTGGTAAGTTACAACATTATTTGACCATTTACCACGGGCAATCGCTCACACTGGCACGCTAGAATCAATGTAGCTATAGTAGAGGCCAGACACTAAATTACAGACGACACTTGGCAAATGTCACTCCACTATTCCCCACACCTTCCCCCTTTTTGCCTCTATTTCTATAGGGCTGTGTTTAAATTAATCCAGCAGCTCTGAGAAAGTAAACATTCATTGGGAGAGCTGTGGATTAGTGTCCCACGGACCAGATTTTTGCTCTAGTAACCGAGAACTCTGTAGCTAGGATATAAACCAATTTGTCATAATACTCTCAACACAGCTGTACGTTTTACTACTTCATTACTTTATTTATTGATAATTCTTCTTTCGGCTGGATTGTGACTGATTAATCACTGCATAATGAGATCAATTGACATCCCATTGTTAATGTGTAATGTATTTCCTTGCAGAAGACAGACAATAAGGAGGCCTCTGAGATTGTGACTGTGGAGTATGCCAAAACTTCTGAAGAAAAGTAAGTACAAGCTTTTGTTGGATAATGTTTTCTTCAGTCTAACGCAGTGTTTCCCAACGGGGGGTACAGGGACACAAACCCATAGGGATACGCAAGAGTATTATAGGGGGACCTGAAAGGATTTGCAAAAGATTGCTAATAGTTTATTAGAGGCAACTATAGCATTTTATACGTAATTGTAAAGTATGTTTACTCAAGAAACCACATTTAATCTTTTTTAAACATTGAAACTATGTGCTCTATGAATAATAATTAGTCAAGGAGGGAAGGCATTAACAAACCTTTTTTTTACTTTTGATCCACTTTTGATTCAGTCCAAACATCTCATTTAGATTAACAGGAGCGGCTAGGAGCGCTCAGGGGCTCAAAAGTCGTTAGACGCCGGTGCTCTTCTGGTGGGGCAAGTAATGTAACTTAGAGAATAAGTCAGAGGCACTTGGATGCAGAGAATTTGCCAACGTGTTTCAACTTGCTGTTTTCATCAGGGCTTGTGTCACATCAGGGTTTGTGTCACAAGTCTTGATGAAAACAGCCCGTTGAAACGCGTTGGCGAATTGAAACCAGAATTCCCTGCATCCGAGTGCCTCTGACTTATTCAGTCATCTACTCATTTTGTTCAGAAAAAGCAAATGTGGTAAAAATAATCAAACATCAATATTTGTGTAAAATATCCGATGCAAAATATGACTTATTGTTTATATTTTCAACACTTATAAACAAACTTTATATAAAGAACGTTGGAGACCTTGGTATAACAATGAATCATAATAACAGTTGTGGCCCCCAATCAAAGGAGTTACCCCTAAGGAACCTGAAAGATGTCCTCCTACTCAACATCGGGCGGTACTCGCGCCCTCTCAGTGCTGGCTAGGGAATGCACAGGGCAATAAAGGCTTGGAACCACGGCCTGATTCACATTCTGTGCAGCCTCTGGACCCTGCGCACTGGTTAGCACTTTTGCTTCACAGCAAGAAAGTCCTGAGTTCAATTCCACCTATACAAGCTTTTCTGTGTGGAGTCTGCATAGGTTTTCTCTGGGTGCTCCGATTTCCCCTACCCCTAAAAATATGTACAGTAGGCCTGACAAATGCTCACAACAATTGTAAACTACTTTGTGACTCTGGTCTGTGAAAGGCGTTGTATAAATAAAGATTACTTACCCACTAAAACGAAATGGAGTCAATACCAAACCCGAATCTGCTTCATTTATCTTGATTCATTTATTATGACCAACTCCTGTGCAGCAAACTTCTTTGTTTATGAAATGTTCAAGTAAAAAGCAGACAATGCAAATAAAAAGGCCCAATCCGGCTTCACTCTGGACTAGTGAAGCCGGTCAAAGTCAACTAGACTTTGACTAGTTTCAAACAATAAAGCCAGACAATCAAAAACAATAATTAGTCAAAAACATTAACTGTAAATCTGTCTAAAATACTTTCTTTACCTTTTATCAAGTTCTGTTTTAATCCAAGTAAAACCAAAAGTATTTATTTTTATTCTTATTTTTTAAAATTGGAACTCATATTGTAAAAATTTTAAACAAAGCAATAGCCACAGATGCAAAAGATGAGCTCTAAACTAAACTCCCGTAAATACAAACTAAGCATTTCTTCATGTTTCCCCCTCTTTCCCGTCTTTAAATAATTTTGGTTAAACAGGTCGGGCCCTCCACAATACGGAGACGATAATGGCCCACCGCTGGTTTAAAGTCTAAAGCATTTCAAAATCACAACCTCAGGAAACTGCAGTATTTACCTCTTGCCCAGATTTTGGTTGTAGTTAAGTTTTAAAATGCAATTCTCTGGCACAAACATTGTTGCTGTGAAACTTGTTCTACCCGTGAATTGGACAGATGGAGGCAATAGTTTTTTGGACACAATGTTTTCCCAGTAAGCTTCTGCTGTAAAACAAAAGGCCTTCAGGAACAATGGGACAACAGCTACTGCTACTTTCACACGCCACAGACTTTCCATAACAAAGTGAAGAATACAAGCATCTATTGAGACAAAAATGAGAAAAATAGCTTGGCATTTGAGCATTGTTTTGTTTACTTTGAATAGATTTTGATTATACAAAACACTGGGCATCTCACTTTTATCTGCTCAATTTATATTTAGTAGTTTGCATAAGTCACTGTTGTTTACTTAGCATGAGCTAATTCCCAATTTTTCCTTTCCTTCAGGAATTCTGGCAGTGAGCTGCAGGTGTACTACGCTCCTCACCACACCTACACTGACTTCTTTGATGAGCTCAATCGTCGGCCAGACACGTTTTATGTTGTGTCTTTCAGAAGGGTAATTAAACTTTTTGTCACATATCACATTAGGATACACGATACAAAGCTCACGATAACAATTATACCTACAATTATTTATGGCATTAATAAAAGAAAAATGTTAAGTGAAAAAATACTTTATTTCATGATAAATGGGATGGAGATGCGTAATGTAGCCGTATATTAAGTATTGATACTAATTTAAAAAAAAATATATATATACAAAAAAAGATTTATTTGATACTTGGCAAAAGCATATCAATAATCGGTCGCGTGAGAAAGTACCACGATATATTACCATATCAATATATCGTCACACTCCTGAATCACATAATGCCTACATTGGATTCAGCTATTCATCTTCTATAGGTTCATGTCTTAGAATTCTGTTTCAGTTGTAGGCAAATGTCAAGACATAGAAAATGTCCAAATGTTTTCCCTGATCAATATTTTACAGTGATTCATAAACCCACTATATAATTCTTAAGGCTGAAAGTCATTTCCACTTTTTTCATGTTTTTTTATGTTGTAACAACTTCTGGACACATTATTATGAAAAAAATAATTGGACCATAGACAAAGAAGATGCCGTGACAAACAGTTTCTGTTTTGGCCCCAGAAAAAAACTTGTTTTTGCAGTTACCATAGTTGCCACAGTTGATACAGCTCCCGTCCACCACAACTGTTGTGATGTCACATGAACGCAACCTATTCCACAAATTTACAGAGTAGTAACGCTAACCTCGAACAGTTAGCAGAAACTACGAAGCACCTTGGTCAAAATAGACTTTGACCGACTTAATGTATTTACTTGGACACAGTAGCTCAAGAAAGAAGGTGTAAAAAGATATTTCATGGTGACAATGTTAACATGGTAACGATTAAGGACGGTGAAAGAACGTCGTGACAATAGTGACAGACTGATATTACAGACAGTGGGACCAGTAGCCAAAGGTGAGGGAGAAAAAAAGAAAGCGCAAAACAGCAGTAAGCCAGAAGAACGCAAATTCAATGTTCAAACCATATACAGCATTTATTTATCTCATGAAGCATTGATTTACTTTTAGGAATTCTACATAAGAAGAAATGAAATACGAGACAAATGCCAATTGAAGCAGTGTGTGTGCTAGGAACTGTTTTCCCAACACAAGTTTTAAGGCAACATATTGAGGTAATACAGACGTAGTTGTCAAGTCGGGGGTGAACTCTCGATCATTATTTGTGTCCTTCTTGAGTGCTTCTCACTCTTGCTGGCTCAGAACTTTAGGTCTTGGTGATTATGTAAGTGTGACATGATGTGATGGAAAACATAACATTATGAAACAGTTTCTACATTTAGAGATGTTTTTTTGTGCTCGGCTGTCTGTGTTGTTTTAGCGGCCATACATTGGGTGTAGTTTGGTCTCGGCGACAGCTTGTACCATATTGAAAACTCCACCTGTTGTCATAGCAGTTGTACTTTATGTCAGATTTGAAGAGCTGTAATGCCCTCTGTATAAAATATATGCCCCCTTCTGCACATTTGTCTCTTGTTTCCGTAATCCCTTCCTCCCTCATGTCATCAGCCTAATACCCCTCATTTTTCATTCCACTTAGACTCTCACCACTTCAAGGAGCTCTGCTTGGCAATATTAGTTGTAAATCCCCTGAGTCGTGCTCGTGTTTTGCCCTAAAATAAATACAAATGTCTGTGTATTCTGAGAGTTGGCACATAACGTTTTCTGTGTTGGGTGTACACTATATGCATTTACAACATTTGCATTGTTTTATTATGGATCCTTTCAAAGTCCCATTATGAGATTTTGTTTCATTTCAGGCAAGGCAATAATGCAGTATGCTGGAAATGTGTCTTTTTATGTTTGAACCCTTTTATGTCTTTTCCCTTTGTCATTGGGAGTAGTTTGCAATTCATTTTGCTGTGTTTTCATAAAAAGATAAAATCATTGTGGCCATGTGTGTTTTCAGGATCACCTGCTGCTTCCTGCCACAAGCCACAACAAAGGACAGAGACCCAAGATGTCCGTCATTTTACCTGCAATGAATATAAACGGTAAAAATGCACTGTTTATAATCTCTCTAGTCTGTTTAACATGTAATACCTGTTATTGCCTGTTAATGCTGAATCCCTGCATTACTTTCTTTTTTAATGTACAATGTGTAAATGGTCTAATCACAGTATTGCACATGGGATTCTTTTTGTTTATTTGGATTAGACAAATATATATTCACAATAATGCCTTTATTTGGTAAACGTTAGAAAAGGGTAAAACACACCCAAAAGTACAACTAAAAGTAAGTTCATGTTAAATATAGTGTCATAACTATTGGGGCTAAATTGTAAGATCAAATATAACTTATTTCTTGTAAAGGAAATGTATTATGAAATACCACCAACATAAAAAGTAACTGTACCGTTCCACACCAACACAAATAATTAGTTTGTTTTGAAGCCTGTGTCTTTCTGTGCAGTTATTTCACCAGTCCATTGAGAACCATCTATGCATTTATGTGACCGTTTGTTCTTGTAAACAAAGCATCTGTGCTAAAGTGGATAGATGAAGCCAAACGTCTCCACCGGCGTTTGCACTGGAGCCAGAGAGTTTCCTAATGATTCATGGACACATGGATTTCCATGAGCTCATTGAACCCTCGTCCACAGCCAGTCAATCTCTGGGATTATCAATACACTTTGTGAGGTCACTGTCCGTTTCTCTGGGAGAGAACTATTGTCTCTTTAGAACCTCAGGATTTTTCTCATGACAGAAATATATTTCATAATGGACGATCTTGTGATTGTATGTGGTTGCTGTACTTTTGTTTTTTCCAGTTTACAAGTAGATCAAAGAACAATCTAAGAAGATGGTGTGACAGAGATAAAATTCTGAAATTCAACAACTTTCCCTCCAATGAAGGTGGTGAAATCCAAGACCTCGATTTGAACTCTTTGGTGGATCAGATTGGTAAATTTCCAGAAGAAAGAAAGCATTCAGATGCTTTTTTATGAGGCCAATCTGATTTGGATGTGGATGCATGACATTGATTTACCACATGAATAAGTTTTCTCTTGGGTTGTTACAGTAGGGAATTTAATGTTGAATGTTTTTAAAAATTAAACATAAAATAGTAACAGCCATATTGTGTAAAAGTGGCCACTGTGATCTGTAATGTTTAGCGTCCTGAAATACAGACCTAGAATAGCTTTGACATTTATGTTTTTGTAGTGATTACATGTATCTTCGAAGACCTTTAGAAAGCAAAACACCCTTGTCCATCGCCAGCACAGAGTATAATGTTTTCCAGCCTCCTTCTTCTCCACTCGCTAAATGGTTTTCATCTGGGCCAAGTTGATAGAGCTTGCAAATCTAGAGCGCTCATTTTGTCTGTCCCGGTCAATTAGTACCCTTTCTTTGATGTCATGTATGGTCTGCTGTCGTCCTTCTCCCAGTCCACGGTTCAGGGGTTTTGTTAAACTTACCTGACCTAGACCTGCTTCAAACCTGCTTCCAAACATGTCAGTGCTTTCCATATAAGGATATAAAGAGAGTGTTTGTGTAATGATCTCGGAGTGAAAGTGCGAGCTAAAATCAGCGCAAGCGACATGTTTTGGAAGAGAAATGTTTTACTGATGACGACATGTCCAGGTAGAGCGTGAACCGTGTGGGAATAAGGCATATCAGTTGCAAACAGACAGTTGTTACCTCCCTGGTTCTTGTCATATATAATCAAAACTTTGTCATCACTCAGAATTCCCCGTCCATGTAACCTTCAAATGATTCTTATTCGATTGCCTCACAGGGAAGTTTTACAGTTTCCAGTGCAACAGTACATACAGTTGGAATGTTGATGTTTGACTTTAAAACTGTACTTATTTTTTACTCAGAAGTTGTGGCATGAAACACTTTTGCACCTTTATTGACCTCAATATTTTTGTCTCTGCCCTCACTGCAGGCACACCTAACCTGGCATAGTGATTTAAGAGTATGCCTACAGCCATTTAGTATTGATCAGTGTTTCTTAAGCTGATTGACCCCAACAAGATCTAAACTAGACCGAAAATAGACTTGTCTGGGTTCATTTTATATTTCTCTATGAAGATTAATCCAAAAAAGGGACATGCAAATTCTCCCTTAGAATGAGAACTTGCAACTGCGCAAGAAATAAGACAAAACGTATGTCCCATTGGTAAATACTGTTTTCACCACTTCAATTGTCAATCGATTGTTTTTCCAGTTATATAAAGTCCTCAGTAATTAAATTGCAGGGAAATCCACTTTTCATCAGAATGAGCTAAACTCCAGGGGCACATGCACTGCAGAAAGAACTCTGGTATAGATTGGAAAAGAAGCTTGCTTGTGTTCAGAAATTGGCAAAGCAGGCTGCCGTGTCACAAAGTTGTACAGATAAATGGATTCTCTCACTGATTGTACTGTGAAAGTGTCCTCAGAGCTGCTGCCAATCTGGCTCTGAGCTCCGGTGTCCCCAGATGCACGCTCATGCTTCCTCAGTGTGGTGGAGGTTATCACTACATATCAGCTGCATACTGTGATGCTTTATGGACCTTCTCCAGATGGGACCACGCAGAGACGAGGCTTGGCCCTGTCTTCAAAGAGTGCTTTTTCAGATGGAAGCCGGTACCAGCGCTCCTGTGTGCTTCCTCCTCCTCTGTTCACTGCAGCTCCATAAATGCATGGGTTTCTGTTTATTTAAGGAGCATGCACAGAAAGGCTCAGGAGAACCGGAGAAAATATCCTTGAAGCCTGAAAATAGAACAGATCTAATGGCACTACAAAGATGATGACGTCCGCATATAGCAGTCAATGTTGATTTTAATGTAAACAGATGATCATAAGGAATTGTGCAAATTGAAAACACATTGTTCACTTGTGCATAAGTGCAGCAGATGGTTGACTCATTTAATCTTTTGTCTTTGAGGATTTTGTATGACACAATATTTTACTTTCAATTTAAGTATTAGAAAATAATTAATTCATACAGACTCAAAGCTCAGTGTCTGCCATTTTTAAGGTCTGAAGCTGGTTTAGATTGTCAGATTTTATACCCAGGTGCATGGTGATGTCATATTAATCATATCCCAATGATGTGAACAGTTGCAGAAGCCACTGGAGCCACTATCAGATTCACTCTGTCTCTGCAGTGCAGTCCCACAAATGTTACAATGGCTAATGTATAGCACAGGTGTCTGGAAAACTCACTACGTTTTTAAAAGACACCTCCATACTTGGGTCATATAAAGCGTCCACTAAAAGCCAAGTGCATTGACTTGAGCTATCCATATGGTTACTCTTTCCTGTCAACACAAAGAAACCCTTAAATCTGTCTGCTAATGTAAATATACAAAGTCTCTCTGGAATTGTGTACGTGAAAGTCCTTTTAATCCTTTGCTTACAGAAGCGGAGCTGTGGCATACCTCAATCCCTAAACATTATGAATCTGCCATGATAACGCAGAAGTGAGCAGAATGACCCGTTTTCTGAGCGAGACTCGATATGAGCCGATGCAAACGTATTGGTCTCAAAAACAACGCTGTTTATCATCCTGCTCCAAACTAACTCCAAACCATGTTCTCACTATCTGCTTCTGACAAATGGAGAAATCTATTGGATTGTTCCATTCTCTTCTCTCAAATGTGCTTGTTCTGCTTTTGATTACGCCCTCTTTGTTTAGTTCTTGCATAGAGAAGTATGTGACTCACCTCTGGACACCATCTGTATCCAAGCTATCCTCCCCCGCCATTTACTCTTGAGGTTTTTCTCAACCCAACACTAGTAAACACTGGTTCACTATCTTGTTGTAAGCAAGAGCACAAGTCAAAGTGTTTTATGGTTTTTCAATAGCATTTTTTAACTCACTCTGGTTGTATCTGTTGGATTCAGATTTAGTTTGGTTAATATTGGTTCCAATTCAAGAACATGTGGATGAATTGTATGATATTGGTTCAGTATCTGGGGCGACAGTAGCTCAGTTGGTAGAGCATTGGCCAACCAATTGAGACCACCGTAAGACCTACTTCACGACTCCCACAGATGACTGCTTTCGTTGTGTCCCCACTTTGCCTGAAGCCCCCACTGAAAGATCTCAGCTCCTGTGGACTCACCACCTGCAGGAGGATCAGTGAGGGGCTGGTGCTCTGTGTACTGGGTGCAGCTCTGACTGCAACCCATGGATCTATTATATTAACCCCGACCCAGAAATGGATTAAGGGTAAGAAAATGGATGGATGGTTCATTATCCTGGTTGAGCTTTTCAGTTGTTGTACTGCAATTATTTACTGGCTGATCTTAAACTGGCTTTCACTTAAAGTATTTTCTTGCAATAAAAAATTGAGAAAAAACTGTTAGAAAACCCAATCAGGCCCATTTGGTAAAGATGGGGGGAATGATATTCAGTAACAGCAGTTGCCCCGTGGCTTGACGAATAGTTCATGTTTTAGAATTATTTTTCAGTTGGAGCAGGTGCTAATGGGAAATAACCATTTAAAAAAATAAAATGTTTTCCCAGATATTTATTTGATAGAAATTGGTTCTAAACTATGTCGACAAGACTCTTTGGAATGCTGTGATGTCACATGAATCTGCTTTAAGATTAAGCTATACTCCATTTTAACTGTAGCCCATCCTTCCAATGCCCCCAGGGCAATCTGTCTGTCTGCTGTGATCGCTATTGTAGCCCTACAGATTTTAAGGCTCTTCTCTTGGTCAAAACTACTTTCACTGGAGATTTTACCTCTGGTGTATGTTTTGGGTGGTGGGGGAAACCGGAGCACCCAGAGGAAACCTACCCAGTCACTCATACTGTTTAATAATGAAGCAAACACAGTATTATGTATAAAGACATCCAGGAATAAGCCTCATGACTATTCTGCAGATTGTGAGATGATTACACGGCACTAAATGTTTGTTTTGTGTTTATCACAGAGAGCATCATTCGGGACTTTGAGGTGATGATGCAGATCGACTGTGAAGTTACAGACACCCGGATCTTACACATCAGGTCGTCCTCTATCCCTCCTGTGCTTAAAGTCAACCACACAGCCTCTATCTACCAGCATTCCCCCTCCGACAACCACACTGTGCCCCCCGTGCTCATGGGCGCCGCATGACAACATTGCCAATAGCAACAAGAAATGCATTAGATTACAAAAGTAATTTACTATTTTTCATCATATTGAAATTACTTCCAAAATTGTACCGCATTGCACCATGAAGAACACACACTTTAAAGTCAGGTAAATTTCAAATTGTGAAGAGTGAATTTTTGTGGAGACGATCACCGGTTTGACCCGCCCATGCCCACCCCTGCTGCCTCCTGATTGGTCAACATTAAATCAAATCCTTGAGGCCCCTTGTCAACTATTCTCCTCCAGCAAAACTTACTGGTCTAGTAATGCCAAGAGGAGGAACTAGTTTGAATCAATTATTGTTGAAAAATCCATTTAAAAAAACAAATGTAACTTGTTGACATCAGTTTTAATATTGCAGAACAATTGTGAACCAAACGGTAATCGACCACATACATATTGGAACTCGTGTGTGCGGCGATAAATGAAAACTAAAACCACTAGCAGGCTCACTTGTCGTTGGTGGTGTCCTTTTTCAGAAGTTCTCACTCTGTTACAGTTATTGGGAAAGGGGTAAACAATACGTCTGCTGCCATTGCTCAGTTTTCTAGTCATGACACTGTTCTTTCCTGCTTTTTGAGGTTTGTTCTGACTCCCTATGGAAACATACGGCGTCAGGAGATTGTTCTGACTCCCTATGGAAACATACGGCGTCAGGAGATTGTATGTAATCAGTGTGAAAGAGTGGTTTTTATATCTGCGTTACTTTGTGGTTGTGTTTAACAGATTTTCTAGCTAGATTTGGTACATTTGCAATACTTTGAGACTTATCCGTCCCTTTTTAAATGAAACATTTGGTAAATATATGCACTTTGTCACTTGATGAGAACCCAGTTGATGTGTTCTGTTCTCTGTAGTGATGGAAAAACATTGCGGTCATTAGTTTATCTCCTAAAACTGGTTTGCGATTTACTCATTTTATGTTGTGCACTGATGATATTTGTTTATAACTTTACAGATGAAGTTGTGAAACTATCATTTTCTCTTTTCTTTTTAAAATAAAAGTATATTTGTGTCCATGATATTGAAGAAATATAAAATGCTTATTTAATTTTTCACAATAATAAAATAATTTTGGGTTTTATTTCCTGTTTTTTGTGTGTAAATAGGGGGAAAAAAATGAATAGGTTCTTTTGAAAATGTTATCTGCTAATGTAATAATTGAGTAATCATGTCTGGAACCTTTCACAGATTTAAACATACAGAGGGTTTCATCTTATTCCATTATTGCAGAATGAATTGAAAATGTGTTTACAAAGTTCACGTGAGCTTTGTTTTGGACAGATGACCTTTCAGGATCTAAACTAAAAACAATTCATGTAAATAATAATTGACCAACTTATCAATTATCAAATCACTCATTACAGCCATAAAAATAGAATAATATTTATTCTTTTTAAGTCTAGAGAGGAAGTAGCCGCCGTTTCGACTTTAAGACGTGTGACGATAAAAAAAGATACACATTGAGTTCAATAATCTCACATGGGTTTTAAACATCTTTACAAAATATACAACAAAACATTTGTTAACAAAGGAACCAGGCCTAAAATTGTTTTGGAAATTTAACAAAAACACAACAATCTAATAAATGTGGATTGATCTACAACCCACTTAAAGAGTCAAATGCGACCGTTCAAGGCTCAAAATATGCAAACGTCACATTGTACGTGACTTGATGTCCATTGTCCCACGCATATAGCACTCCCTCTTTAGGATTATACTCTACTTGTGTTGTGTATGTGTACTTGTTAGTAAAAGGCATTCTGGGAATCATCTGCGTGTTGGTATGCGTGTCGAAGGCGTACTCCAGGTTGGCCTCTTTACGGTTGTAACTGTCCACAAAGTACAAAACCCCGCAGACAATGAAGCAGTTCCCATACTGGTTCCTCCTGAGCCCGGTCCTCCATGTGGTCTCCTTCTGCATGCTTAGATCTGCGTGATTCAAACGACTCAGCACCACCACTTCGTGGAGAAATCCCTCGTCATCCAGAGCCGGATAGACCACCCACAGCCCGCTCTCGTCTACGGCTATGTTGATGTCGGAGTAGCTGCTCCACTCCCAGGGGGAGGAGGACTCCTCCAAGGCTGCGTCGTGCAGCATGGTCCAGGCGGAGACGAAGCGGTGGCTGAGGTCGAACTTGATGATGTCCCGAGAGAAGGCGCGGTTGTAGTAGAAAGCCCCTCTATAAACCACGTGACCGGTGCCAATCCAGTTGTATGGGAGTTTGTAGGAGTTAGTGAAATGGCCTAGAAAGGATGGGGATATGTGAGTAACAGGGCTGAAGGAGTTTGGCACAAAACACCCCCTGATTTTTGGGTGTGTTTTTAAATGTATTGATTATACTATGTTTTACTTGTAACACGCACGCACGCACGCACACACACACAGAGACAGAAAACATTCATACAAACAATATAAAGCTCAATAAGACATTAGAGAAGAAAAGAGTATTTGCTTTGTCTTTCCATGTCACAGAATAATATATGATATTATACACTTAAGGAAAATAACTTAAGTAAACAGGTTTGGGTGTATCTTCTAAGTATTTTAAGTATTCCACAGTGTTTTAATCTCATTGAGTGATTCCTGCCGACTATTCCCACCGCCCTGTACCCCACTGTAGGACAAATACGGTTCTTATCTTTGTTTCTAATTGTAGTTTCAATATTCTATATGAAAGGAGACACTTACAAAATCTAACTTCAAACCATGTTACAACATTGTTCCCTCATCAAAAACAGACCTAGAGATGTTTTTAAGTAAATCCACGCTAATATCAGGAACTTGCGGCAGAAATACAGTCCCTCACTCTCCCCCTTCTGACAATAAACTTCAAATACAACGATGGATCCTTACACTATTATGTCATGTTCAAAGCAGTACAATCCCACAAAAGAACTAAATTATTTTTTTCAAATTTCTCCAGTGAAATTATGTTATTCACTACAAAAGCCTTCAATTTCTGCAATGTTTGATGTTGGGTAAAGAATACATTTTGTGTTAATTATCATTACTAAGACTCCTCCAATATTCATGTTTATCCATATACGTTCTACTGAAAAAATGATTTAAAGTAAATATCACAACATCCTGTTTAAGTGCAACAAAATTATACAGACGATTTCTTATTTATGACAGAGACAAGAACATTGTAATTAGTACTGTCTAATTACTACAGATGTTTTGTAACTGTGTGTGTATTCTACTTGCCTTGTTTGAAGACCTCCAGGCTGGAAAACTCCAGAAGGTTGTCCCCATAGAAGTAGTTTGTGACATATATTTTGTCGTTGTCAGACTTTGAATCCTTCATCCAGGCGCCCTCGCTCTTGCCGTACGTGTTGTGAGAGACCGGCTCAGAGATAGTGGCCAGAGTGTCTTTGCAATCAGCTACAAAACATTAGAGTTTTTGACATAAGACGCTAAAAGCAACCAAACACACATTTTTATTCATTCATTTATGTCGACTTGAGATGTACAGGTAAAACTCTGCAAATTAGAATATTGCATTTATAATTCAACTGAAAATGTGTGACATGTGCTAAGCCTTTTGTTATCATTTTCATGATTGTGGATAGCAGTTAAAATGTCAAAATATTCAAATTTTGTGGGATGTTTTATTTGGGTTATTTCACTTAACCCCACTTTGCCTGAAGCCCCAACTGAAAGATCTCAGCTCCTGTGGACTCACCCCCTGCAGGAGGATCAGTGAGGGGCTGGTGCTCTGTGGACTGGGTGCAGCTCTGACTGCCACCCCCCGACCCAGAAATTGATTAAGGGGAAGAAAATGGATGGATGGCTTTATTTGGGGTTTTTACAAGCTGAGCCATTTATCTCACCTTGCATGTAATACGTCCATCACATACTGTATTAGTTTCACATTATAAGCTAAATTACAGTAATAGACTTTTGAACAATATTCCAAGTTTCGTCTGTAACTTTCAAGATGGAAGCAACAGTAGTTTTAGTGGAATATTGCCATTACTTTCATATATGATTTGATTTCTTGCCTTGGCCTACCTGGTTTTCTTATGTGAACTTGGCTGTTTTTCCTCGTCTCGCCTGGAGCCGTTTTAGCAGCAGCCGAAGACAACAAAGTGGTAGTAACAGTTCTGGCTGAAGATGTAGTGGTCCCAGGTGCCGTTGAGTGTGGTGGGGTGTGTCTGGGGGTCAGCGGGGTCAAAGGCTGTGTGGAAACTGTTTGAGATATTTCATCTTTACTGGTTTGTGTAGACGGAGCTGGTGTTGACTCCAGGTTTGGGGCCATAGTTGGAGCAGTTCTTGGACTGGTGGTGGAGGGTTGGTCTTCGAGCGGTGGGGCAGTAGATTCCATCATGCTGGGTGGTTCCGTACTCATTATAAATGGCTCTGTGCTGTCTTTTGTAGCTGTCTTTCCAGTGGATAGAATTGGGTCCACTGTAGTTTTAGCTACACTTGGCTTAACTGTCAAATCAATTGGCCACAGTTTGGGATTTGAAGTGTGTTGTTGTGAATACTGCCGAGGTTTGGCTGTGTTTGGAAAATGTGTAGATGTCATTATCTCAGATAGAATTTTTAATAATTGTTGGTGAGTTTTTGCCCCTTTGGATTTTTTGGATTCTGACTTTCCCCGGTTTCTGCCAAATTGCGACTCAGTCTTAAATGTCCTTTGTCCTGGTCTGGTTCTGGAGCGTGGGGTTTTGTGTTGAAGAAGATTCTCCTCAATAAACAAGTTGATGGGGCCATCTCCGCTGAAGCTGTCGTACTCAAACACTGGAATTCAAAATAAACTATTAGTTTATTTTACAATGTACTGATTTTCAAAACGTGCCATTCTTTGGAAATCAAAGAATGATGAAGTTAAGAAGACCGTTGGTTAGAAGACAATGGGGGTTTCTGTTTGGGGTACATCACTTTCAAACCAAAAACAAATAAACTATTTTAAAAAGTCTGAGTTCAGTTTGGTTCTATAACCACTTTTCACATGCATGTGTGTTTTTAGCATCTGTCACTCTTCAGCTTTTTCCGATATCAAAGAGAGGATCACCCTCGCTCAGTCAGCTCTCAGGAGACTCACAGGGCTCAACAAATGACTTAACATTTGAACATAGTGATAGGTGCTGAAAATAGTGAGGAAAACTTAATTTTTGATGAATAGGTGAAGTAAAATAGATTGGCTACACAATCACTCAGAGCAAAGATTAATAATCCACACTTTAAAATAAATGAAAATGTGCTTACAGTTTTCTCCAGGTTCACCATCATCTGCTACCATCGGATCTGAGTCAGATTTGTAGAAAGTCATTCCTCGGATTATGAGTCCTTTGGGTCCTGTCTGTGTCACTTTGCGTTTAGGAGTCTCCTGGGAGTTCCTCTCAATGACTTCAGCATCCACCGCAGTGTGAACGACAGAAGGACTTTCTTCTACAAACTTATCCCAGTAACAATCACAGAAACACCAATTAACACATCACTGTATAAGTTTATAGAATGTGTAAGTGTTTGTGGAAAGCTTACCTCTGTTTTATCATCAATTACTCTTTTATGCATTGATTTCTTATTTTGCCTTTCATAAACAGATGGAGTTGGTGCGCTGTCCATGATATCTGCCTGCAAAGGAGGGCTCTCTTGAGGCTGTGCTTCTTGATCAGAGTTGTTCACCACCACCTTAGCACATTTAAGAATGAAAAAAGACAATATGGCACAATCAAAAAAACGATATCACCTGGTTGATCTGATACCTTTTCAATATGATCCATCCGCTCCAGCAGCTTATTGGTGACAGAGTGCAGCTTCAGAAGGTCCAGCCCATATAGAGACCCTTCAAGTAAGTCCAGGATGGTCGACAGCTGTAGGACAACATTCCAATTTCATGTGTCTATATATATACTGCATATGTTTGTTAATCCCAATTTTTGAGATTGCAAATTAACCTTGGCATTCTGTCCTGCAGCCTGTGCCAGTTTTTTGAGTCTGTGCTCTCCCTCGCAGGGGTTGACAGCAGACGGAGGGGCGATGCAGGCGCACTTGCACTCGGGTCCGCTTGTGATGGTCTCCACGGTGTAGAAGTCCTCCAGGCGCGCTTGTCCCTCTTCTATCCGCCGACACGCGCTTCTGCTCAGCGGTCTGACAACACATTTACAGCCACAGTCAGAGCCTTCCGAGATGGCTTTCACTTTGTCATAATCACCCAGTAGCTACAAGAAAGGACACACGCACACACACACACAATCCAATCCGGTTAGACGTCTGCGCACTGTAGTAACTGAATGAAAAGTGTAGTGTGATTATGTTTTACCTGAGACAAAACGCTCTCCTGTGTGCGCCTCTCCTGCTCTTCATCCCCAGACAAGTTGCTTCGTGGCGCTGCGCAACTTTGCTCCAAAAGCGCGCAACATGTGATAAGAACAACGCGCAGAAACATCACTCCAAATTCACTTCACGACAAATTGACTTGAATATTACGCGTGAGTGGAAAAGAGCATAGTCCAATGTAACGTCAATGTGAATGATGTCTGCAAGAGCTCAAATGTAATAATCATCCCACCACGTCATTTTGCAGTCAAAGTCTGGTGTCTTTGCCTAATTGAGTGGAGAAACCCAGGGGCCACTCACGCGAGGAGAGTCAGGGGCGGGTCTTGGGGCCTTCACCGGGAGGAGTCCTCTGTTTTTCGTGCGGGGGGAACCGTGTGGACTTTTGCTGCCATCTGGTGGGTACATGTGATCTATTTAAATCGCACATTATAGCTAATGAACTCCTGGCCTGGATAACGCTTTGAAAAAATACAAATAAAAACTCAGAAAACTCAAGAATATACACTAATAATATGAATAATAATGAAACTAATTAAATACTAACAAATAGATTGAAAAAATATATATATTATTGGTTTAAATATTTACTTACTGGATATTGGATGTGTTAGTATATACAGTGTATAATGCGAAGTTTGGGAAATGTAGGTTGATACCAGTTTGCTACATTGTGTCCGAGTATGTGTGAGTGCATCGTGTTATTACAGCTCTAAACTTCAACCTTAGACCATAAACTATTCCATTTCTGTAGGTAACAAATCAAACAAAAACATTTCCAAAATAGTCATAGAATTGGTTAAATAACGTAATTTTATTTGTGTATAAGGCACTTTTACATGGTTCTTAAAATAAAAGACCCCAGACATGTATTGTCTTTGTAAAACTCATCTGAGCATCACAATGCTTAAAAGTTTTATGGTCAGTAAAGCACCCTCATTTTAAATAAGAAAACATTTGATTGATAGAAAATATAAAGTGCTAAAGATTAATTTAAGCAGTTTTCATTTTTAAAAAAGGAAGCGTCTCCCTTCTTGTAGTGCAGCTGTATAAAAGGTTGAGTAAATAGTTAATTAGCATTGACCGGCGTTTTCAATCCTCTGTTCTGTGGATACAGGTAATATAAGGTGAGATATGCGGCTCCACAGCCCACCGTATTTGTCTATGTCCATTTGATCAAAAGCAGTGGCATGACTATGTGAAAGAAACTTATTTTGTAAATGGTCTGTCACCATCTCTTCTACTTCACTCAGACGAATCTTAGAAGGGATCTCTTCCTCTTCCCCAAGAAGTACTGTGAAGATTAAAAATGTCTTTTTAAAAGCTGCGTTCTCATGATCACAGTAGCGATAAAAGATTAAGGTGGAAGCTGGAGGAAGCTCCTCAAAACGGTGAATAACAGCAATAGGTTTTCCCCCTTCAAAAGCTTTCTGCAGCTGGCTGTCGATGTCTGCTTTGACCAGGTCACTGTCCTGGCTGGACTTGCTGGCTCCCTCTAAGTGAAGAGCAGAGGCATTGAGAGCTGCGGACAAGGCAGAAGCAAGGTTCTGAGCCAGACAGCGAAGTGTGCCTTCAGCCCGCACACCAGCGGTTAGAATTATGCTGACCGGCTCAGTGGGCTGGCTCATCAGGAAATGTCTTTGCAAATGGATCCTGCTTCTTTTCCATAACTCCTCACGCTGACTGGGGAATTGGATCTTCACCTTTTCCATTTCTAAACGAAAGATGTCTAATGGTTGGACATCATTTTTCTGTGCCGGAGATTCGGGCTGAAGGATTTGTAGTAAAAGAGCAGCGACAACTGCAACTAGTGCAATAACAATCCAAATATTTCTTCTTTTATTGTCTACAAGGAGAAATCACACATTTTTAAATTGTATTGATTAACATTTAACAAAAGAGTGTCATAATTACCTTCAAGAGTAACAGGGACATGAGAGACAGGAGCCAACTCTGCATGAGGTGCAGGACCAATTGTTTCAACATCCCTGTTTGGTATAGGCTCTTCTAAAACAGAGGATTCCTGTTGCAACGGCTTTGAATTTTCTAGCCCTGATTCCAAACTGATTTCATCATCTGCTAATATGGCAAAAATATGTATTATTATATGTGTATTTGTATAAATAGTTGTAATAGTTTAGTAGCTACACACCTTGTACCGGTGTTTCAGCTGCATCTTCAGCTGTTGAATCCGAGGTGGGCTCTGATTCATCCTTTAATATTTCTTGCGGTGGTCCATCTATGTCTGATGTATCGGCTTTTAGCCGTGGGTGGGCATCTGAAACCATATTACATTAATAGTTATATATCTAAATATATAAATATGTATACTAGATTGTATTTATTCAAATTGTACACACCACAATGTAAAATATTTGTCGTCCGATCATTTTCACAGTCCCCCTTGTCTAAATCGATAAGTTTAGGGTTGTCCGTCTGCACAAGGACATCTGTGGCTTCTGTGTTTGAACCAGGTTTTTTTGTAGACTCTTCCAGAAAACGCTCAGGTTGAGTGTGGTCATCTGCAACAAATCCAGACCCTAAAATATATCTGCTCAATTCTTCAACTAACTCTGATATCATTATGAAACTTACCATCATTATCAACGACAGTATTTAGCTCTACAGGAAAAGAGGAAAATAAATCCATGATTAATATAGTTCAAACAAGCGGGTAATGACAGAACATTAGTCATGTGATATTTACCTTTTACGTCTTCCTCTTCCAGATCGGTTGCACAATGTGTGTGCTGTACCTCCTCTGCTTCCACATCTGTGTTAGAACAATTAGACAACAGATTGAAGTTCACAAAATGCATAGATGATAAAATAATATGTATAGCAATCTTTAGACCTTCATCCGGCTCGTGAGGTTCAGTCTCTTTATCCGCCATTATTCCTTAGGATCCCTGGTTTAATATCATAACTGGGAGAGGGAAAATCATGCGTCAAGTGTCTGTTGTCACGTGTTCAAAGTCCAAGCCGTAAACCTCCACGTCAAATAAGTTGACGCCCATTTATGTTATAGAAAACCATGAATAATATGTAAAAGAGGTTTTATCTTATTTTAGTTGTGTTATGTTGTATTTTATTTATTTACACAAATCCAAAAAAAAATCTAAATAATTACACATCTCTCATTGCTACAGGCACGGCTCAGAGAGAGAACTTTCGCTGCCTGAAGTCCTCCGAACTGCTCTTCCAGCAACTGGTTAGAGATATCATTCAGAACCGACCTACCCGTCAGAGCCTCAGGAAGATTGCCCTGAGGCTCTGACGGACCAACCTGCCCGTCCAGAGCTCGGCCTCTATCTGCGGTTCTGTTTGAAGACCCAACACATTGCTGTATGTGAGATCCTATAATCTGATGAACACTCTTTACGGGGGTTTAATCCTGGTATATGTTACTAGTTATGATTTTGTGTATATTTCTAGTGTCTGTTTTGTTATTTAATTTCCCCTTGTGAATAGAGTATATATCAATCTGTAAAAACTGAAGGAATGGAAAGTAGTGCAAATGGGGTAATGACATATAACTACATATAACATGGTAGTTGATAAACAGGTTAAACTAGATAGACTTCCGGATAATAGATAGTAGCTAACTTAGCTAATTGCTATTACCTCGGCAAGAAGCTAGTTGGTTGTAACAAAATAGCAACGCCAGGGCTCACGTTATTAATGTCACTCACGTACATAATAATGCCTTACTTACTACAGAAAACAGTAGCAGCGAAGATATCCCAGTTTCCATCCGAAGAACTGCTAGCTTTAGCGTTAGCATAAACTGTTGTTGTCTCGCTCCAGCGCCAACGTCAACGCGGAACCTTTGATCTGCTTGTTTCTACGGTAACCAACGGTCGGACGTATTTCCGCGTACCGCCGTGTGTAGCAACAAAATACTTCCCCCGTGAAGCGCAGCAACGCCCGCGGTTAAGTTGTTCATCGCTGTTCAAGCACATTTAGTGTTATAATATGTAGATGATCAGGCCGCTGTTGTTTTAAGATGGATCCTGAAGTTTGTGAGAAGGCTCCTGCTCGTCAGCTGAGACGGTCCACAAGACAATCCTCAGTCACTAAAGGTAATATCTGCAGATTAACGTTCATTTTAAATACACTTTAGTCCAAGCGATGAGCAGGGTTTGTTTTAATTCAAATCTGAACACAACATAACGTCCGTATGTATATTGATATAACGCCAGTCTGTGTGTGTGTTTTTATTATAAGTGATGTATTTTCTCACTCACGAATATCATTCCTCGTGATCTTCGTTACTAGCAATGAGTTTTGAACCAACTCCCAGAGGTCCTTTAAAGAGAACGAAATCAAAACAAGAATCTGAAGTCCCAGCTTCAAACGGAACTGTGGAAAATGACTCTGATGACGAAGGTGGGTTGATACCTTTAGAACAAATGTTTGGTCTTATCATTATTCAACGCTGAAATAATCCTTGTTATCCAGGCTCCCCCAATAAGAAGACTTGCATAAAGACTGGTGATCACTTTGCTTCTGGAGAAGGGAATGGCCCTTTGAAGGATGTAACGGAGCCCATGGATACACACAGTGAAAGACTGGCAGGAGATGGAGATGGAAATGTCCCACTTACTCATTCACGACCACCACTCAATACCCCAGGTGGTACTATTATCAGCACTTCAGCAACATGGATTGTTAAGATGTATACATTTGCTAATAGAATTGTTTTGTTTTTCTAGTTCCGGGTTCTCGTGAAGATGTTAAATTAAAGCCTTTGGTAGTTCTGGGTCCACGCTGCTCACTCACTCATCCTAAATATGAAAATGTCATCAAAACCCAAGGTGATGATGCAATATGTCTTTATATTTTTCACAATCTTTGATTGCACATGTTGGTAGTAATGTAACTATAACTGAGTTCATGTTTCATATTTGTTTGATTGTATTTTATTGTTACAGAGGAAAAACCAAAAAATAAGGCCTCACTTCCTACAAAGTCTGTTACCCAGATTACTTCCCAAACAAAGATATCTGAACCATGCAATGTTACTGTCACAAGCATGGCAGATTACAAGAGGAAGATGGAGGCCAGAATTACAGGTGACGTATATAAGTGTGGTTTATATTTGGGAACAATTTCCATAGAATAACAATCATACTTTGCTATAGAAAATCCAAAAGTGAATAATTATGTCCCAAGCAAATGTCCAACCTCTGTAACAATAAGTCGGAAGCGCACCGTTGTTTTAACTCCAAAAACAGGCGTTTCAGAGAAGAAAATGGGTAAGTGATCTTATAAATTGTAATTATGTCCTGTGAACCTAATTCTGAGTTATTATCATTATTTATTTTTTTTAGACCAAAAGAAAACAAAAGTTTCCCCCCATTACTCAGGGTTTCCATCAAAAGGTACATGTTGAATTAAAAACATATACAGAACCATTCTTTCAATTTACTATCTACTTACTAATGTCTCACCCTCTTTTTCAAGGTTTCTTAACTTATTTGTGGCAGCTAGTCCTTTTCCTTCTGTTAAGTGCGGGACTTCTCCTTGCTTTCAAACAACTCCAGACACAACAGAGAGCTCAAAATGATAGTACACACTCATCCATGTCTGTAAATACTGAGTTGTTTGTTGGTGAAATGTCCCATGTGGCCACGCGGTTCCCCAATCAACGCCCTGAGCTGTGGAGAAGGAGCCAAATCCACCTTCAGAAGCACCTGGACTCGCCCCAGCCCACTGAGCCGGTCAGTCTGGTCCTCACCGCTGGTCTGAAGGCTGAGAAGACCCTACACTGCTTGGCCCACAGTGTGGCCTCGGCCTTCTCTTCTGCTGTGAACAGCTCTGTTGCTGTCATTGACGGAGCCAGTCTAAACAACCTGGACAGTGACCAGGTTAAAATGGATATCGATGGCCAACTGAAGGCAGCATTTGGAGGTGACAAACTCGCCGCCGTGGTTGAACGCTTTGAAGAGCTTCCCCCTGGTTCAACACTGATCTTCTATCGGTACTGTGACCACGACACTGCAGCCTACAAACGGGCTTTCTTACTGTTTACTGTGCTGCTGTCTGCGGAGGACCTGAGCCCTCAACACAGTCTGAAAGAGGTGGAGGAGCTGGTGCGGGATCACGTGGAAGAGAGGCTTGTGGGGAATGATCCAGCGTTCAATCAAATGGATGCTGATAAGTTTAGTGGGCTTTGGAGTCGCATCGCACATCTGATCTTACCAGTGGCATATGAAGGAGAGATAGAGCAGAGGGGTTGTTAATCAAATCTAATGTCTCCAATCAACTCAACAAGCACTTGTATTTTGATCATTCCTGTTTCATCCACATTATTCCTCTGTTGGCCGTCTTTCTACGTCTACTTTAAGACTTGTTTACAATCATTTAATATAAAAACTATTAACATTTACTATTCCACTGTTTTCCAGCTTGGTGTTGCACTGTATCCCTTTTCCCTTTCCCCAATTTCCAGTTTTAATGATTATTTAATTTTTTCTGATTGACTGAAACAATAAGTATATGATTTTTGTCTTTAAAACATCCTGCATATTTTATCCTGTTGAATTGAAAACATTCTTTTTGTTTTATTGTGTGTAGAAAACCAGAGTCCCTCAAAGTGCCTTTAGATGTAAAGTTTGTATATAGTTATTACAAGATAAGACTTGCAGCAAAAACACATTTATTTCTTGTATTTGGTGACTTTTATTGTAAATGTAACAGTGACATTTTAAATAAAGAATATTTTGGTTATGTTTCATAGATCGCTGATCTTTTAAGTATGTGTGTTATAAAACTAGCCATTTTCAAAAGAATGTTAGTGATTTTGGGTTGTCAAGCCTATAAAGTGCCTTGGGCTTGGTCATTGGGTGCAAAAGTGTGATTTTAATAGTCAGAAGATCATGTTCTTCATGTTTCCAAACACCTCTGTCCATTAGAAGTTTCTAGAACATAACTGATTTATATATTACTCAAGTTTCCTATACGGCCCGTTTTATTTTAAGTAACGGACGTGATGATTTGACAGAATGAGCTTTGTGGAAGTTTTCCATATTTTCACATTTCCACATTTGATTAAGAGATTATTTCATTTTACAGTAGAAGTAGAAACAAAGTGATACTTTCATATAGTAAACAAATTTAATGTGAAACCAGACCCTTTTTTTTCTTAAGTTTAATTTTTTGAAAAGAAATGACAAAAACATCACGTCTTTTACACATTTTTAGATCAAGTGATTTACAAATGTTGTGTTAACTGCTTTTTCAGACTTAGGACAGTCTGAAAATGTCTATTTGTCAATCTTTCCATTTGATTTTATCTACTCTATCTCTTTGATATGTAGAAAATGAATGAGTTGACTTTAATTGATTGACACTTTACTGTGAACGCACTTCTGGTTACCAAAAATAGGTTAATTGTTATCTTAACATTGACATATTGCAACAATTGGGGCAACAGCCAAAGCAGCAGTGACTATGAATGAGGCTGTGATCATAAAAACAACACACACCTGAAACAACATGGACATTTCTGATGTTTGCCCCTGTGGTTTATGTAACACCATTGTATGTTTCATGTTATACCTCGTCATATTAAAGCTGGGGCATCATAACTTTTTCCGTATCTTAATACAAAACCTTCTATCTGTCGCATAATTTGCAATATTAGACACTTTGGGCTGAGTGAAGGTGGTCCTGTGGAAATTTTTTGTATTTTCTTTTCCTGTAAAAGAAGATCCTTTCTTCATTTGGCCATAAGACTGTAACAGATCTGTCTGAGTTGAACATATGCAATATTTTTGGTTAGAAACGCCTATTTTCTAACTAACAATATAAACTATCTATTTTATGCATTGCTCTTATGACAAATAAAGTATCTCTCTCCTTCTCACTTCTCTGAAAAAGCTGTGTAACAGGGGCTTTCATGTGAAAAAACCAGTGTTTGAACCAAAAAGTTAAAGCCAGGGACAGTTAAAATGAACTCCTGTTTTTAAATTAGGTGCTCCAGATTCATTATTGGTTAATCATAAAACAAATATTGCCCATTTTGTCTTTGGCACTAGTGACTGCAAGAACCACTTCTATGACAATGACACATATTATTTGCAAACTGTGAAGTGTGAAAGACATTAAAACTCCCGGAAGCCATTCTTAGCATCGCTCAGGAGACTGATGGACAAAGGCAACTGTGGGAATAACACGTCTTTCTTCCAGGGAATATTTGGATGAGGAATAGAAGCACAAACATACAGCAGCAGTAGCAGCAGTTTCTATTGCCAAGAGAACATTTGTATAAGAATTAAACAAATTGAGCAGAGTCACACAAAAAGAAAATGTCCTTTATGTCATAGATAAGTAAACCAAATGTTCTCACACCAATGCAGGTTGTTGCAAATCTAATTCCAAGTTCAATGTGGTAAAAAAAACCACATACAAATACAGATGTTATAACATGCATTACCCGGTGTCCATCCAGTTTTACACATATCATAGAATCAGATGCAGATGCAGAGAGTGAAAGGCAAACATTTGTCATTCAGCCAATCTTTCTTAAGTAATGTTATGTTTGAAAAAGGTCCTTTATTCGTCCCACAATGGGGAAATTTCAGTTTGATGCATACACATACACACATATACACACCGAGGCAAGCAGCAACATCTCTTCCGCGCTCCTTAAAGGCAAAGTGGGTTAGGTGTCTTGCCCAAGAACACGACAACAGCAGACACCAGTGGGAGTCGGTGGAGAAGGTCTCATGGTGGGCTCAAACCTGCGACCTTCAGGCTCATGCTCTACCAACTAAGCCACTGTCAAAACATTTAAACAATCATATTACTTAGAGGCACAGAAGCTATAATCCTTCCTGTTTGAGGTTGTGATTACGACAATCAACACCTAAAGGAAAGAATCAAAGTGACACACGACAATATGTAATTTTACGTACCGTACATACGTGTGACGGGAATAGCTTACCCCACAAACAATCTTCTGACATACTTTTCCCCATAAATAAACCGTAGTTCATTTCCAAATCTAATACATTGTTTTAAAAAAGGTAACTGCCTTATAAATCTACAATCAATGGACAGTTGTCTCGTCCCTGTGTCCCTAAATGTCTCGACAAATGTGGCTCTAATGACAAGATGTGTTGTTATTACTTTTTTATATTCAAAACATACTGTATGTTGTTTATAATTAGCATTTTTTTAACGTCACCCAGTTGCACCTTAATCATCACACTGTAAAAGACGAGTTTGTTCTGTATCTCCTGTCTTTAAGAGTCACTTCAGGAAACAGGAAATCAAACAACTTCATTAATGCTTTTGGGAAAACACCGGTGACAGATACTCTAGCTCTTACTTTACCTTTCACCACACAATCACAGCACAACATAAACAACAAAAACAACATCAACAACAGTAGCTCAGCTGGTAAAGCATTGGCCTTTGAGCCAGAAGGTTGTGGGTTCGAGCCCGACTTTCACCATCGACTCCTGCTGTCGTTGTGTCCTTGGCAAGACACTTAAACTCTGGGAACACCTGACGCCACAGTGGGGCGGCTGCGGCTGTAAAGTGCCAAACTGCTGTTTTGTCCTTAGGCAAGACGCTTCACCCCCATTGCCTAGAATGAGTCTGGTGTGTGTGTGAATGGTTGGTGGTGGTGGGAGGGGCTGATGGCACAGACTGGTTGCCTCGCTTCTGTCAGTGTGCCCCAGGGCAGCTGTGGCTACTGTAGTAGTTTATCACCACCGTGTATGGATTGTTCAAAAAAGCGCGATATAAAACTGATGCATTATTATTGGTGAAATTGGTTGCCCTCTTTGTACAGACTGACGCTGTCAAGAGTGTTTCAAACCACAAACACGGAAGGATCAGACAAGGAAGTTTCACAGACAGTAAAACTTAACCCACTTTTCTGATTGGATTTGAAAACCAGTGCAGCAGATCCAGGTCCACAAGTATTTGCTTTGGTTGTAGCCAAACAGTCTGATTATATTTACATTGTCAATTTCAGTTTTCGAGGAATATTTTTGGAGTGTTCCTGCAATTAGTTCAATACAAAAATTCAAAACGTATTGTCATCTTTCTGGTGTATTATTGATCATGTATTATTGCGTGTGGCATGACAAAGATTGTTGAATGAAAGAAAAGTCAATGCGATCTATAACATGCCCAGAGAGCGTGTGTCAACATTTAGTTAATTCATGTTTTTCTCCTAAATGTCCTATTTAGGCAGTCTGAAAGAAAATAAAAACTACATTTAAAATGGTCGGACTAAGCTTAAAAACTTAAAAAGTACAAAATTGCAAAGACATTTAATTTTTCATGTCAAATACTGAAAACAACAAACATGAAAGTAAACATGGTTCCAAGTTCCACTTTTCAATCTGAGAGCAGCCCAGACCACAAACAAACTCAACGTCCAAGAGGAGACTCTTTATTATACAAACACTACAACACGGTTTCTATTTAACAAATATATATATACTATTACTATCTATCTATCTTTACCTGTTATTAGTACTACTGCATTATTACATATTCATCTGATTTCTGCCATTCACCAGTCACTTTACCTGTTGATATTATTTCTGATGCTTATTCTGCTTGAAATTTCCCCACTGTGGGACGAATAAAGGAATTCTTATCTTATATTCTCATATTCTCCACTGCTAAGTACAATATAGACATCTGTAAATACTTCTGAACCAAGTGCAATTATGGCCCCAGAGTTTATCTTATTTTATTTTATTTTATTCTTTATATTCATTTTATTGTCTATTATCTTAATTCATAGACTATTTGATGTGTGCAATCTGAGTGCTCTTATTTCCTTCTTTCTCTGCAGTAATGTGCGCAACGATGACACTGAAATTTCTCCTCTGTGAGACAAATAAAGGTCTATGTTATCTTATCTTATCTTATTATCTATCTATATTAATGACAAAATAATCAACATATTTGTATGGACTAAAAAAAATACCAAACTTAATGATGTCAAACTGTTGGCTGACAGAACTCTCTGGCTGTCAATTTTGAGTTGATTAATAGGTCAATGTTCTCTTGTGTGTTTACGTTTATGTTAGTTGACTATGATTTTATTTCAATACCAGAACTGCTACAACTGCAAAAAGGATCATATATTTGGGAAAATATGCAAACATTTTGGTATTTACTTATGTATTCATGGCAGATCCAACCCTTTATTTTCATATGTTTAATCAATGTTGTTTAATATTTCAAGAAGAAATACAAATATCAGTGATTTTATGCTATGGAGTTGTTTTTTAGATCACGTACAGTTTGAGAAACACACAAAACACGATTATTTTGAAGTAATAAAAAGGTGCAATTAAAACCTAATCAGTGCATTGATTTTGGAGTTTGGATTCTGCATTTGCACTGGCTGCTCCATATTCACAGTTTTACGCATGAATAAAAGGCACACGACAGATTTCAAGTGGCTCCAAAACTTTCTACCAATAAATGCATAAAACACTGGATTCAAGCAACGGTGGGAAAACGTGACAAGGCGAGAAATACAAGAGGAATACTCCAAATAGATGGAGGCAGTCATGGAATGGTGGAACTGAGAGGTTATCCGACATTTTCCAAAAGAGCAGCACGTCGTATTGGATCTAACATGTAGGACAGAGCAACAATAGAGAAAAACTAACTTCACTGCTCTGTTTATGGTCTTCTGCTGCGTCTTTTTCTATTTTAGACAATATTTGAATATAACTGAAGGCCATCACAGCAAAAAGTGACCAAGAAGAAAATGTTTTGTTGGAAACTTGTGAAGGATCATCAGGGGTATCAGTGACAGTGGAGAAGAGTGGGCAAAGCAGCCACAATACTTAAAATCCACATGAAACTCGTCACCAAAACTCCTATGTGCGTCTTTTTTTAAATTCAAGTCACTGAAATGATGCACCATGACAAAGTATCTATGATTGTCATCACAGTGAGGAAGAGGATGCTCCTGTAAATCCATTAGCAAAGACAAAAGACACTTTACTGCCCATCATACGTCACTTTACTTCACTGTACTGCTGTCACCTTACATTGTGTGCACCATGTGCACTGTATATTGTAAATAGTAACTGCAACTCTATTTTAAATTTAAATTTATTCCTTAGAAGTGTTTTTTATTCTTTATTTTTTATTATCTCTTTCAGACTGTTGCACTGAGCCAAAGCAATTTCCAAGTCTGTGACTTCCTGTTACTTACGTGGCAATAAAAATGATTCTGATTCTGGTTTTGCAGGTGGCCGCAGGGAACACCCATCTAAATATAACAAGTATTCCAGACATGCAGTCCAAATCCTGATATTGCAAACAGATAAAGTAGGAAGGAGGAGAGGATTGTGCTCAAGTTACTATACTTGTCCCAGCAAACTGACTCCGCAGCTCCGCAGCTTGACTGACAATCTGAGATTTCTATCCTTCCTTGAGTCTTCTCTTCCTAACCATATGCTAAACTGATGCGGACTGTTTTAGCCTAGCCTAGAACGTAGGGTTGAAGATGCAGCGGACCGGGTCCCGTACAAGCAGACTCCAAGACTGCTTGGACGACCTGACAGGACAAACAACCTAACCATAGGTTAAATTTAAGAAGAGTGTTTTAAGCCTGGCTTTGAATGTAGAGACCGTGTTTGCTTCCTTAACGTGGATGGGAAGCTGATTCCACAGTAAAGGAGCTTGGTAGCTAAATGCCCTACCGTTACCAGTGCTTTTTGAGACCTTAGGAACCACCAGACATAGGGCGTTTTGCGAGCGCAGTGCTCGGTTTGGTTGATTTGACACTAACGTGTCTTCAAGATAAGAAGGAGCCAATTTCAAACTTTATTCTGTACTCCACAGGGAGCCAGTGGAGTGATTTTAACACCGGAGTTATGTGCTCCCTCCTTCTGGTGCCTGTTAAGATCCTTGCTGCTGGCTGTATAGCAGCAAGCGTTACAGTCAAGCCTTGAGGTGACAAAAGCATGGATCAGTTTTTTTTTAAAAAAGATACAAGCCTGTTACTTTATTCAAGATTATGAATCTAAACTTTAAAATGAATATTCACAGTTGTTAGCTTTTTTGTAAACGGAATATCCACTGCATAATTCAACATACATTAAAAGTTTATACATTAAAAGTTTATTTTTTACATATTCTTTTTAGTGCAATACATTAGAATGGAAAACATGTATTGTCTTATTATTATACTTAACATGATCAAGCTTTAAACATTAAAAACACTTTAGTTTATTTAATGCCAACTATCTATGATAGAACCTCTCAATGGATTCTTTTGAGAAAAAAACAGTAACACATGTACATTAACTACAACACAGCATAGATATCAACATATTCTCTTGACTTTTGATTCTGCCCTAAAAACAATGTTGTAAAATAGTTTTGTTGTTACTTTGTTACTATGTCATTACCATAGACTGTAAATGTCATTACATGATAAGGCCATGTCATTGGTGATCACATGACACCAATGTTTACGCCACGCATCAACCTAACTATCCTGTTTCAAAGTCCCACCCACATACTTGTTTCTGATTGGACCATCGTCTGTAACTCACTGTTTGATTGGTCAAGACTCAAGAACTGGACCAACAAGTTTAACAGGGATCTTGGGTCGTTATGGATTCACGCGTAAAAAGTATGTGACTGTTTGAATGTTATTGGTTTTTACTTCATGTTTGTTACGATATGTAGTTGTTGAGTTCCACAGCTCTTTCTGTCGATATGAACTTAAATGAACTGCTCCGACGCGATAGCTTTGTTATAACCTCAGGCCATTGTCCGCACAGCCATAAGGCACAGTTTTGGTGAAGCCAGTATTAGTTTCTATTACTGCTTTTATCATGTAATGTTAGCAAAACGATTATTTATTATGTGTTTGGCATTGTCAGTATATATAAATTAAATTAAATGTCAGGAATTAACAATAAGGTTTGAAGCCACTACACTTCCTACACGTTTACGTCGATCATTTCTGCTCAAGGAGATTCTTTTATTAACAATAGATAGACTTATAAACCGATTTACTTCACTTTAATCCACATACTTTGTTGATATTTCTGCTGTGTGGTGCATCTCACAGAAGTGCTTTTATTACGTGTGTGTTAGGCATTTCCAGTCAGCTCTCAAACACACTGCATTTTGACATTGTTTCTTGTTCAACAGGTTCGATGTGAGGGGAAGGAGAGACTGCATGGGACCATGGCTTTGGGGGCGACAGGCGGAGAGAGCCAGCTCCAAAGGATCATTCGAGATCTGCAAGGTGAGCTGTCCTTAAAGATGAATGCTGACTGGCTATACCACAATGTCTATAATGACCACAGTGACAACAGTCTGAGCTCTGAGGACACCCAGCAGCTGCTCCTTAACTCACTGACTGCCATTGACGTATTTGTCTGAGACCCTCTATTCGACTGGAGATTACAGGACAATCAAAATAGCTAAAAACAAACTTATTTTTGCTGATTAAAGTAGATAATCCAGTCTTTCAGAATCTGGTTTTGTATTTCACATAGTCTTTGGAAATCTTATTCTGTGGGTCTTGAGAATGAGTGAAATCATCAAAAACGGCCGGCAGTCATTGACTTAACTAGATAATGGTATGGTGATAATGGTATTTAATAGAAATCCTTTGAGGGGGCATCTTTGTGAGATCACACACTCGATTTGTACATTTTAGTGCAGTGAAAATGTTAACCTTTTTAAATGTCAAGGTAATTATGTGCCACCATTGTTCTTTGGTCTATCAGTCCTCAAGGTTCAAGCAGACTTTTTTTTAGAGCAGACCAGAGTAGAGCTGTAATTAACAATTATTTTGATAATCAATTGGTTGTTTAGATTACAAAAAGGCTTGCAAATATGTAATTTACAAGCAGATTTTACAAAAACAGTCCCCACAGACTGAGGCTCTGTTGTAGGACTGTAAAAATGCATAAGCTACCATAACTTAATATTTGTTTGATGTGTGCATAATCTGAGTGCTCTTTTCACCAGACGTCTGCATGTAATTGAATTGTACAGTTTTCTTGTATTTGAAACAAAAATGTCTGACCTAACAGTCTTCTATGGACAATTATACTTATATATATTCAGAATTGTCTTGCTACAGCACTAATGGCACTGCTACTTTTGTCCGAAGTAAATGTTTTTTAGTTTATTGTTTATGGTTCAGCCACCTTGTATATGAATGAAAGTGGTATGCTGATGGATTATGCTGAACGTGCAAATTAGTGAATTTAGTCAAGGTTTTCAGCGATTACATTTGGCCTGGTCATATGATGGCCAGTCATGCGTTTTATTTTTTTGTCTGTAGTCAGCATTTCAACTCACCATACTCACCATGTTTCAGATTCTGTTGCTGAAATAGCCAAGGAGTACAGGGAATGTGGAGAACCAATTACAGATGACAGCACCAACCTCCACAAGTTTTCTTACAAACTGGAATACCTATTACAGGTACAGCTTACATACTTTTTTCTTTAATAAATGTACAAATCATTGAACAAGAAAACCTTGCAAAAAATGAATTTAAAAAACCCATTACATTTCCATAGTCACATGACCGTTGGAATTAACTGCCACCTCCCACCCCAATAAAACAATAAAAAAATGAAACATTTTGAATTGTATCTTTCTCTCATGACCTTGGTACATTTAGATTTATTAACATGCAGGTATTTTTTATAAACTTATTCCACTTCTTTAGATCAGCTTTTTCACGCAGAAAGGTCAAATAGGGAATAATTTAAATTTATTCTTTAGAAGTGTTTTTTATTCTTTATTTTTATTCTTTACTTTTATTATCTCTTTCTGACTGTTGCACTGAGCCAAAGAAATTTCCAAGTCTGTGACTTCCTGTTACTTACGTGGCAATAAAAATGATTCTGATTCTGATTCTGATAGGGCCAACCACAGTGGCTCAGGCAATCCGATATCTTTCAGTGAATCACGGGGCTATTTTGTAAATGTTTTCAACAGTACAAATGTTTTCTATATATGTTCCCACAACAATAATAATATTATTTCTGTGAAGAAAAACACATGGAAATGGAAATAAGCTAGATACCCTTAAGTGTTTTTTACTTTGTTTTGTAGTTTGGCCAAAAGGAGAAGACTTCACTGCTCGGCACAAAGAAAGATTATTGGGATTACTTTGTTGACTGCCTGGCCAAAATTAAAGGAGCCAATGATGGAATCCGCTTTGTTAAATCAATCAGTGAAGTAAGTCAGATAAATAATACAATTTTGTTTAAATAGCTTGTTGTAATTTAAAAAAAAAAATACTTTATTATAATATATTATGCAATTATAATGATAATTGCATTTGTTTTCTTTTCCAGATAAAAACACCTCTGGGAAAGGGACGTGCGTTTATTCGCTACTCTCTCGTGCACCAGCGGCTGGCTGACACTTTGCAGCAGTGTTTATTGAACCAGAGAGTGACAAGGTGCCGATTAATTCTACTTTCATAACAGTTTGAGCCAGTGCCTGTCCTCATTCTTTATTGCTTTGTTGGTCTTTCTCACAGTGACTGGTACTACACACGAAGTCCGCTTTTGAAGGCTGCTCTCTCCGCTGACATTATCACACACCTGTATGAACTCAACGATGTGCAGTTTGACGTCGCCTCCAGAGGACACGACCTCGATGCTGCATGGCCCACTTTTGCCAGGTATAACTAAGACATTATTAATTATCTCGTGTCAAAAGTGGAGCTCGACTCCTGTATCGGTCGGCCAATATATCAGGTCAATATGTGCTTTTGGAAGCTTCCTCTAAACAATGATACCAAAACGCAACTAGTAACAATTGATACAAAAAAAATGTATCCTGTCATTCAGACAAAACTCAGCCCTTACCTTTGGTCCAGTTCCATTAAAATCTAAGTATACAGTAACTATATTCATTATTATCAGAAAATGTACCATAGAATTTTCAATAAATTAGAATATTCAATAAAAGTAATAATTTGTTAAAACATACTTCAAAAATTGGCCACAGATGCAACATTTGTTTGAACTTCCTTCTCTGAAAATGAGCCATTCATAAAGGCATTATTTAATAACCTAAAAAAATACCCTAAATGGTAACTAGTGCTTTATTATTAGCACCAACCCCTATTTGTGGTCTTCAGAAAAAAATAAATCAGACAATAAAATAAATCGTTATTGGCCTCAGAAAATCCATATCAGTCTGTCTCTAGTCCAAACTGACAAAATGCGCTTTTATCATTAGGAGGGCTCTGAATGCAAACTCTCCCAGCCATACATGGAAGCCGCCAAGTCGTAGCTCCAGCATCAACAGCTTGGCGAGCAACTACTCACAGGTACATTTTTGATTAACTGATTTTAAATGTAATCAAATATTGACTTGGTTCCCCATTTATTTTCCAGCAACCAGGTGATTTCTCCTCCAGCATCGACTTTGGTCATGGGTTACTAAATGACCTTAATGAGTCACTGCCTGCATGTAACGAAGACCCCAGTGCCATTGACGACCTCCGCCTTGAGCTGGATCAGTCAGAGCTGAAGATGCGACAGCTTTCGGAGAAGGTGCAACAAATGGCGGAGCAAGAGGCCGATCTTCGAGGGGTGGTAGAGGACCTCCAGAGGCAATTGGAAACATCCCTATCCTCCCAAGAGCACCAGCAAGTCGAGCTTAAACGCGTCCGGGGAAGAGAGGAAACCCTGTCCAAAGAAATAGAAGCCTTCAGGAACGTCAACAAGATCAGGGAGTCAGAGCACCAGCAGCTTCAAGAGAAATTAACCACAGCTGAAACTAAGAACATGGAGCTTTTAGCCAAGTTATATAATGTTTTGAATGAAAAAGGACACCAGGCAGCGAGCCATTTTGACTCGGCACAAAAAATACATGAATTACTCGACAAGTTGAAGGAAGCGGAGAAAGGCAAAATCGCTGCTGTTGCCGAGATGGAGGAAAAGAAGAGACTGAGTGAAAGATTGCAAGAGGAGTTAAAGCTAAAAGCGGAGATTGTAAAGCAGGGTGAAAATCGACTACAAGAAGTGTCTGTGTCTAAAGGTAATGTGGATGTTAAACTGGCTGAACAAAATAGTGTTATGAATAATTTGCAAGGAGCCTTAGCGTTGAAAGAGAAGGAGCTGAGTGACGTACAGCTGCAGCTTCTGGACCTTCAAAACACAAATGGAAAGCAGGAAAAGGAGATGAAAATGATGAGGGAGAAATTTGAAAAAGAAAACTATGACCTCAAAGAGCAACTTGATGTTAAATGTGACGAGTTAATTGCTCGTAATGATACACTACAAGAGCTACAAAACAAGAATAAAGTCTTGACCACAGACAAGGAAAAACTTGTGGGAGACTTGGCCAATATGGAAAACAACGCAAAGGATCATGCTGCTAAGACTGTGAAAAGTGAGGAACAGATGAAGGAAATGATGTTGCACCAATCAGACTTGGAAGATGAAGTTGCTGCTTTAAGGGCTTCAGAGAAACAGCTTCGAAGTCAATTGAGTGACACTAAGATGACCGTGGACGAGAAGGAAAAACGGTTACGCAAGGAAAACCAGGAGCTCGACGAAAGCCTACAGCGCGCAAACATGTCTGCCAAAGCTTCCGAATCTACCGCCAAACGCTTAGAGGAAGAGAATCACGCACTAAAAGAAGAACAAAAAGCTGTAAAATCTGCTCTAGGTCGCATGCAAGCGGACTTGAACCGCGTGCACGGGCAGATAAGCGATCTAGAGACGAACTTGGAAGCTTCGCGCGAGAACGAGCAAGCTTTGCAAAGTCTGCTTCAAACCAGTGAATCGCAGGTGGCCAAATACGAGAAGGAAATCTGTGAGCTTGCCACAAAACAAAAGGAACTCGAAAATGCAAGAGATGATGCTGAAACGGCAATCGCTAAGCAAGCAGAAATGTTCGAACGGGTCTCTTCTGAGAAACAAGCCATTGAAAAAGCACAATTTGAGAAAAGCTCAGCACAAGTCAAGGAAAACCAGGAAGTGTTACATAAGCTTAATTTAGTAGAAGGGCAGTTGGATGTAAGTAGGGTGGAAGTATCCAGGTTGCAAGCAGAAATGATGGATGTCCGAGTGCAGGCGCAAAGAAACGAAGAGGATTTACTGAAGGCACAAGCACAACTCAAGATGACGGAAGCCCAGAGAGATGAGCTGAGGACTCTGACTGAAACCCTTAAAAATAATATTGCAGAACAGAACCAAAAGCATGTCGCGGAAATGATTGAGAGCAAAAAGAAAGAAGAGGCGCTGATCAAGGAGCGAGACAAAGAATTGGCCGTGAGCGCGGAGTTGGCTTCTACGCTGGCCGCCGTTCGCAAAGAGGTTTCGGTACTGAAGGAGGAAAACGAGCGGTTAGTTTTGGAACACAGTGACACGCGAGAAGCTCTGCACAGGGTGAACACGGAGATGGCGGAGATGGGAATGACGCTATGCAAGCTGAGCGCGGAAAAGGAGGAGGCCAGCGTGCAATGGGCCGCGGATGAGGCGCGGATAGAGGAGTTTGAAAAGGAGGTGGAGCAGTTTGGGGAGTGCATGGATGAGCTGCGAGAGGAAAACGAAAGGCTGAAGCAGGAGCTGGAACGGGTGGAGGAACTGCCACAACAACTGAAGGAGCTAAAGGAGCAGCTAGAGAAAGCCGACGGGCAAGTACAACGTCTGAAAAGCTCAAGCCGTGAGGAGGTGGAGGCGGTAAAGTTTCAGATGAGCTCAGAAAGCATGAATCATCAAGTGCAAATCAAGGTGAAACGCGTTATTTACTTTTGGCCTGCTCGTTCCACTGAATGTGAAGTGTGACAGCGCATTTCTCATTACAGAGTTTAACAGAACAACTCGACGAAGTGAAAACACAGCTACAGGAAGAGCAGAAGAGAGGCTCCACTTTACAGAAACAAGTTTCAGAGCTGAAGGTTAGTTTCACAGTTATGACCAGAAAAGTGAAATGTATTTTCTTTGAAGAGGGACCTCCAGTTGATTTGATGATTTAACATTACAGACAAACAATACAAGCCCTACTGTATATGGGGTGCTTGAAAAACAAAAACAAGGCTCAGCAATAGACAATTTAAAAAACCTTTAATGTGACATGGCTGTGTTTTTAAATACACACCGACAAAGCATATCATTGTTTTTTTCACCAGGGTCAAACAATTTAAAGAGGACTGAAATATTAAGATTAAGATTGAGATTAAGAGATCCTTTATTTGTCCCACAGTGAGGAATTTTCGGTGTTGCATCACAGGTTATAGAACAGTAGGAAAGAGAAGCACATGACACACGTTAATTAAAACAAAACAAAATCTCTAACTCTAGCTTCAATAATAAGTCTAAAATCTCTATCTTGAAAATAATAATATATTTAAAAATGTAACATTTGGAAAAATAAGAGGCAAGTATAAAGTACTGTGTATTCTAGTGCAAGTAAAGTTTAGTTATATGTTAGCATCCGTACATTAGCAACTGTATGTTTACATCTGTACATTAGCAGCAATATGTTTACATCCGTACATTAGCAGCAATAGCAGCAGTATGTTTTCAACTGTACATTAGCAGCAGTATGTTTACATCTGTACTTTAGCAGCAGTATGTTTACATCTGTACATTAGCAGCAGTATGTTCACATCTGTACTTTAGCAGCAGTATGTTTACATCTGTACATTAGCAGCAGTATGTTTACATCTGTACATTAGCAGCAGCATGTCTACATCTGTACATTAGCAGCAGTATGTTTACATCTGTGCATTAGCAGCAGTATGTTTACATCTGTACATTAGCAGCTGTATGTTTACATCTGTACATTAGCAGCAGTATGTTTACATCTGTACATTAGCAGCAGTATGTTTACATCTGTACATTAGCAGCAGTATGTTTACATCTGTACATTAGCAGCAGTATGTTTACATCTGAACACTAGCAGCAGTATGTTTACATCTGTACATTAGCAGCAGTATGTTTACATCTGTATATAAGCAGCAGTATGTTTACATCTGTACATTAGCAGCAGCATGTCTACATCTGTACATTAGCAGCAGTATGTTTACATCTGTACATTAGCAGCAGTATGTTTACATCTGTACATTAGCAGCAGTATGTTTACATCTGTATATAAGCAGCAGTATGTTTACATCTGTACATTAGCAGCAGCATGTCTACATCTGTACATTAGCAGCAGTATGTATACATCTGTACATTAGCAGCAGTATGTATACATCTGTACATTAGCAGCAGTATGTATACATCTGTACATTAGCAGCAGTATGTTTACATCTGTACATTAGCAGCAGTATGTTTACATCTGTACATTAGCAGCTGTATGTTTACATCTGTACATTAGCAGCAGTATGTATACATCTGTACATTAGCAGCAGTATGTTTACATCTGTACATTAGCAGCAGTATGTTTACATCTGTACATAAGCAGCAGTATGTTTACATCTGTACATTAGCAGCAGTATGTTTACATCTGTACTTTAGCAGCAGTATGTTTACATCTGTACATTAGCAGCAGTATGTTTACATCTGTACATTAGCAGCAGTATGTTTACATCTGTACTTTAGCAGCAGTATGTTTACATCTGTACATTAGCAGCAGTATGTTTACATCTGTACATTAGCAGCAGTGTGTTCACATCTGTACTTTAGCAGCAGTATGTATACATCTGTACATTAGCAGCAGTATGTTTACATCTGTTCATAAGCAGCAGTATGATTACATCTGTACATTAGCAGCAGTATGTTTACATCTGTACATAAGCAGCTACATTAGCAGCAGTATGATTACATCTGTACATTAGCAGCAGTATGATTACAGGTTGGCAGTGTTCATTAGTCCTTATTGTTGTCATATCTATGGCATTATTGTGTTGTTTTATATTGGGGTAAATAACAGTGTGGCTCGACTTGCCTGGATACGGATTATTGTTCAATAAATGACAGCTGGAGCAATATATTGTGGGGGTCAATATTTATTCGCCTGACCATTATCTTGATAACAGCAGGAAAATAACTCCATTCTATTTTCTTCAACTTTATCCGCCGCCAGGAAAAGAGCAAGAAAATAACATTTCAGCTGTAGACAATTTATTAATTCACATTATTATTATTATTTCCATTACATGATAAATAAATGATTCACTGGAGTTTTCCTGCAATATTTGAATTCTGTCTTTTCAGTCTCATCATTTGTTTGTTATTATGACGGTTGCAGCTGTTTCAAGACGTATTGTGGGAATCTTGAAAATCATTTCAAGTGTGCTATTTCAGTAGTCCAAGCACTCGCATTTACCAATACTTGAAGTGTGGTGTCTGAGCTTTTGCCAATACAACACAAAATCCCATATATAGATATAGATGGATATTAAGGAGTATAAACCAATTGGAATGCTGTTTGTACAGAGCAGTAAATGGACAATAATATTAGGCGGGTCATTTGACATTAAGATATATTATTGCACCATATGAATATAGTTAAACAAGAAGCATAGATTATTTATTTATTGTGAATAGTCTGAATTTATTTTGTAAGATAACAATTATGTATTTTCTGTCAGGCTTTGAATGAACAATATTTGCGGCTGACGGGAGAGAAGGACGCTCACATCACTAAAACGGAGACCACCATTCGCGACATTGACACAGAGATACAGACACTAAGACAAGACGCACAAAGGTAATCTCTTTATTATTACATTATTCATCTTTAATACACTTAGTTCAGCTCCTCATCACCTCATGATGATGATCATAATAATCTACACTCATCAGTGCCACAGAGGCCCATTCTGCTGCACAACTCTTGTGTGAGGAATTAAAACAAAAACTGGAGAAGTGTGAACAGGACAAACAGACGGACACGTTGAAGATGTCTGCAGAGATTGACGACCTAAACCGTACGAAGAGCACTCTAGAGGAACGGCTGATCGAACTCATCAGGTAAGACTGCGTTTTTACTAAATGTCATGGATTCACGGCATTATTTCTTATTTATATTGAAAAAAGAAAATAATTAATGCTGAAAATGAATGTTTTAATGTTGACCTCTGTCCCAGTTTTTGTCTTAATAATAATCTGAAGAGAGAGGTTTTGATCAGAATGTTCTCTGATCCTCACTGAGAAAACTTGAAACCTGACTTTACGTGGATCCATTCTTCTACTTTCCCTTTCCTTTTGTTTACTCAGTCTGTTTGGTTTGTGCCATTCATGGATTGCTATTTCCAATAAACCTGCACATTCTCCCGTCTTCCAGTGTGAACTAAACCCTGTTATTTTAGGGACAAAGATGCTTTATGGCAGAAGTCTGATGCTCTGGAGTTTGAGCAGAAGCTGCGCTCAGAGGAGCGCTGGTGGTTGATGGATAAAGAGGCCACTCACTGCCTCGGCTGCCAGGGGCAGTTCACCTGGTGGCTGCGCAGACATCACTGCAGGTCATATATAATCACATACTGTTCACGATGTCATATCAATACTGGAATAACAGTAATTCCTTCTGTAGAGTTTGTGGCCGAATATTCTGCTATTACTGCAGCAACAACTTTGTAACAACAAAACACACTGGGAAAAAAGAACGCTGTTGTAAAGACTGTCATAACGAGCACAATGAAGAGAGGCTCTCTGAGCCAGAGAGTCCTTCAGGAGCGCAGACTTCTCCCTCTGGATCAACTCCTCAGACAGGGCCTGATCCAGAGGCTTGTACCGGCCAAACTGTCACAGGTAAGAGCTGATCCATCTAATGAACATCTATATAAATGTTTACATGTTATTATAAATGTCTTTACTGCAGCTACAGAACCTTCAAACAAGTCTGACGATGGCGTCTTTGACATTATCACTGAAGATGAAGTGCACAGAGTGTATGACAGTGACGCTGCCTCCCAAACCACAGCAGGATCCCTGGATGGAGAACAGGCTCCACAGCTGCTCAATATGTGAGTTTGTCCTCAAGCTCCAGGATAATATGTCTCTGTTCAATGACTTGAAATTGACTCGGCTCACCAACCTGCTATGCACCAAAAGGTCAAAGATGTCAGACTAGTTTTCAAAAGTAAAACAAGAAAATGTTTAACATTGAAGTCTTTGCATTATAATGTGAAAATGAAGCATATCAGTGGTTTTTAGTAATCTTTCAAAAATAGTCCTAAATCTTTTACACGCACTACATCCAACATGCATCATGGTGAGACTTGCTATAATATTTCTTTTATTTTACAATAGCACAGGCGATGTGACCCAGGATGAGTCTGAAGACAATATTCCCACCGCTCACAATTCTGAGATTAATCTGCTCCAAACTGGAGAAGTGACGTATGTCAGACGGCCTGCTGTTGTATTACTTATGAAGTGATTACTTACTTGTTTTTGCTTTTATCTCAGGATGGCGATTCCATTCTGCATCGAAGATATTTCCCATTTTGGCAGTGGTTCAAGGGAGCTGTTTATCAAATCCAGCAACTATAGTGTGATAACTGTAACTGTGTGTGACTGTGGACCCACCATCAGCTGGATGTTTTCCTCTGAACCAAAGAGCATTTCCTTTAGTGTGGTGCACAGAGAATCAAGCGAGACTCCCCTTGAACAGTCAAAGGTATGGACAACACATCATCTCTTTATCTCCTGGTCACTTTTGGTGTTTTAACCAGTTATAGTTAGTTAGTTAGTCTTTACTGCAAAACAAAATGTCCCATATCCTCACTCTATTACAGGTTTGAAAAGGGGTTTGATGAAGCAGATGCTTGTTTTATCCCAACCCTGTCACACCTTTACACCACAATTATACACAGAATACAATACAATTAACCAACATCCAGAATACTGTGAATTACTCACAGAAAGATATACAATACTGATCCAGAGGGTAGGATGCACATCCTTTATTCTTACATTATTTAAATTCATTTAAAAAACTTAAATAAAATAATATGTGTAATCAATGCATGCATCAATGAATACATATTTTCTTCAGGCATTGCACTAGTTGTCTAAAATTATATAACAGGAGTTTTCTGCATGTTTGAAAAACCATAGTAATGATTAATTATTATGGTTTTTCACAGTTCATCAACCCTAACCCAACTGAGCGCAGAGTGCAGATGAAAAGTACATTGCTAAATATGATGCAAAAGATTTACTTTTTTAACAATTAGCACATGGGTAAAAGGATTTGCAGTTGTAAATGTACGAACGGGTTGAAAAATAATGTTTGATGAAAAAGGAAAAACTGAAGGAGAAGTGCTCTTTAGTGACAGAACTATCAATGCAAAATACAAAATACAAAAACAAGGACATTCATTATGAAAATACTTAATGATGTCATGTCTCATTGGACTCAGTGAGCTCAGGGTGTTTCATCTGTGGCCTTTTCTGCCGCTCTGACGAAGGCCAGTGGCTGAAGCTCTGTTGGTCCATTGAGACTTCATGAATACGAGCGATGTCATCACTGTGCCTGGTTTCACAGCAGGAAATATTTTAGAAAAAAGAGAACATCGATTTGACAATATTATGACAATATTATAATCTTTACATGTTGACCTTTGAATACTTGTAAGACGGAGCCCCATTAGTCACTGTAGATGCTTTGGGCTGAGAGCTGATTGGCTGTGTCACGGTGGTCCTCTATTTTATGTCTGAAAAATATTATCTAAAGATGTGACAGAGGCCAAAAATTCATGCTTGTGAAAACAAAGCAAACTGGTGAGAAAGTTAGGCATTTTAAGCATAGTATTGCCGAAATATATCTGATTTGGTGGAGATGTTTGCTCAAATAATCTTGTTTCGCGCTAATTTCTGAGCCAATCCATGAAACAAAAGAAACAAGTTCTACATCTTGTTTGTCAGCACATAATAACTATGGTCTAATATTATCACTATCAAATAATGATCCAGGGAACATTTCAACATTTTGTTTTTCAACATTTCTGTCAAAAATGACTTCTTTCACATTGTTGTATTGGCACCTTGGCCCCTGCCCACAGCTTGAGTCTGTATTATGTCATCTACAGCTAACAGTACAGTCAAAAGGACAAACAATATCTCCAGAGAGGACCCCCCACCTTAAATCCCATTGACTTTACATAGAAATTGTTTCAACATTGATCCTGTGTAGCGTCTGTGGATGGCTCCCACTGACACGTTTGAAAAACATGAAACGGCAGGAGGTCAGAGCTGCTCACGAAGCCACGCGTACACCACATGTAATTTCAAATGTCACCGCTGTAAATAAATGATGATATTTCCCAAGTAGTATTGTGTAGGGATGAAAATACCAATAAGCCTTGGCTAATGAGACATGTTTAACTACTTTTCTCAGGTCCTGATTCCTTTGACTCGCTGTAATTCTCATAAAGAGACCGTCCAGGGGCAGCTGAAGGCGCGTCACACTGGCCTCTACACACTCGTCTTCGACAACTCATTTTCTCGGTACCCAAATTCACGTTATGTTTCATTGTTGTATTGTTGACAAAGTGCTTTATGAATCCACTAAGAAATGGTCTTCCCCCAGGTTTGTTTCTAAAAAGGTTTTGTACCATCTGACTATGGAGCAGCCTGTAGTCTATGACGGAAGTGATTTTCCCTGAAGCCCCAAGACGAGTCCTCGCTTTATCTCAGGACAAGACTTTTTATTACATGTCACTTTTATTTTATTACTATTGCTTTTTTATTGAAAGAGTTTGAATTATTCTATCTGCACTCAACAGGGAACTGAATATGCAATTCAAAAATGTTAGTAAGTGCATGGTTTCCTCACCTGTAAGATGGGGGAGGAATTTAAAAAAAACAAAATCTCTGTGAAATAGCGGCCAGTTAGAACATATTGCCGTTTAATTGTAAAGGCATTGTATGCACATTATCTATTTATTATAACAGCAATAAGTGTCCTATGGAAGTAAATGCACTTTTAGTCCCACTGCCTGTGCTCAACATACGAACATGTTCCCCAAGTGCCTTTCATGTCATGTCTGTGCTTTCTCTAATGATCAGACATGTTTTACGTTTTGTTTTGTTGCTGCTTTTATGTGTGAGGTAGCCTAGTCTGACTTTATATTCGTAAAGAGTGTATTTTTAATGTGTACATGCTTTTAAAAAAATATTTAGGTAAATTGCACAGCATTAGCAATACTACTACAATGACGGGCTTGTTGGTTACCTTTTAAACACTTTTTTATTTTACAAAGCAATCAAATGTTTACATATTTAGAAACCCTATACGGTTCATGTTGTGTTTATTGAATCTTTAAGACGTGTTTTTGATGGACTGTCAAGTAAAGACTTTCTTGTATTTAAATAAAAGAGCTGAACTGTCGCAGTCTCCATGTTTCCTTCACCACTGACCTGTCTCCTGTGCATGTGTTGAGGCTGTGTTTAGTGACGCGCTTCTCAAAGGGCGCACGGGAAGCGCGCTGCGTGGGGCATGCGCTCAACTTTCCTCGACTCTGAAGCCTCCCTCTCTGACCGCTTTACTGCAGTTGAAAAGCCTTTCTTTTAGAATCGGGGACATTGTTGTTATATATCCCCTCGAACCCTCCAGTTCGCTGCAGGCACCACCGCACACACTCCATCCAGCGACCACACGCTCCAGCCCGGCGGGAAACATGCTGCTGCTCTGGGTCAAATACAGCATCATCACCGTGATCCTTCCTCCGACTGTGAGTACTCTCAAATATCATTACAGAGCATTCTCATTTACCACACGATGGGTGCTGCGTGCAGGGTTCATCAATGTTGTTAAGTTTTGGAAGTTGACGTAGTTATATCATAGTAAAAAGCACCTCACAGTAATATGAAGCGAGGTATGTACCATAGTTTCAACATGTTTTTTCTACGCGATGTCAAATAGATGTATTTTTAATGCCATTCATTTGTATGCGACACAGCAAAAACAATTTTTCTTTCAAAATGTGGAACAATATCCATAAATACGGAAAATGTCAGTGTACAATGCCAGAAGCAATTAGGTGATAATTATAACAAAATTACCCCAGAGAGCATCTTGCATCTCACAATTTGGCTGTGAATCTGGGCTGAATGACAAACAGAGGATGTCAACAAAATGAACTGCATGGTTGATTAGAACATTTGGAAAATACAGCCTAAGGAAAAATATGTGTACTGATTTTCATTTTCATTGATTCGTCTGTCTTTCTTTATTACAAAAATAATCTGTGAATATCAGCCTCTAGAGTCAATTGAGCGTACAGATATTAAATGCGCATCCAGATGAACCATAGAGAAATATTCTTGACAAAAATGAATGAAAGCTTTTCCCACATACCTCTGTCTTTTATTTAGACGCAGACTGGGATTTCAAGCCATTTCTCAAAGAATAGATAAACACAGCTTTAGAGAGGCAAATATCACCAACGCATGCTAAAATGAGAGCATTTTGGTCTCTATTTGGCTGTTAGTTATAGTGGATAATGGCTTTCACCTTTTTACAGCTCACAGCTCACAGGTCCAGAAGCCCTTTGGCACTGTGTTCTGGTGCACCGCTCACACTAGTCATGGGAGACACCATATTTTTATATTTTTGGTTTTGTCCTTTCTATGTGGGAGTTCACATAATGCAAGCTCAAATACATAAGCACTGTCCGCTCTGCTTCCACCTGCCACTCAGTGTTCACAGCACAAAACAACATGGTCAAACCAGTAAAAATATACATCCATCCATCCATCCATTTTCTTCCCCTTAATCCATTTCTGGGTCACCAGCCCCTCTCTAATCCTCCTGCAGGTGGTGAGTCCACAGCTGCTCTGTAAGTGTGAGCATAGCCTTGATCTTTTAGCGGGGGCTTCGGGCAAAGTGGGGTTAAGTGTCTTGCCCAGGGGCACAACGACAGCAGACATCAGTGGGAGTTGGTGGAGAAGATGGCGAGGTGGGAACGAACCCATGACCCTCTGGCATGCTCTACCAACTGAGCTACTGTCGCCCCAAACATACAATAGAAGAGAATTACATTTTAAACTATAGGGGAGGCTGGGTTGACTGTTGATGAACTGGTTCAAACTTTTGGGGTAGCAGCATTTCAATACACTTTTTTTTTGTTGAAAATTTGCACATTTTCAACAACAAACATCCAGATACTCTCAAGGGTATAAAACACTTTCCAAAAGTGTGTGGAAAATATTTCAGTGCATGTTTTTATAGAGGAAAGTCTGAGCTTTCTCTCAAACAGGGGTCTCCAACCTTTTCCTCCAAAAGAGCTGCTTATATCAGAACAAAACCGATGAGCTATTCCTTTAAGCAGACATACTGTATAAGCAAATAAGCAAGGCCTTAAAAGGACAAGTAGCTTAAGTCTTCATTTCTTAAAGATATATAAGAGGATTTTTCCAAATTATAGGAAAGAACCGCCCTCTCCTCTTTTTGAAATAAAAATCTTCTTATTTGATTAGCACAATTAGGAGGACCAAAAGTCTTGATGATCCACCCAGAAGTAGAAAATCTTCCTATATACCTTTTATGTCCCATTGGAAATGATTGTTTTACTGTTTTACGACCGTCGAAATGTTCTAAAAATGAAGATGAATTAAGATGAAAATAAAGACATTATACTACTATGTACAATTATCGAGCATATTTGTGAATTTTCTTTTATTTCGGGAGCTACTTGGATAGAGGTGGTCCGCTACTGATTATAAATTGGAGAACCCTGCTGTAGAATATTTTTAACTTTTTCCTAATAAATGACAACATGTGACTTCTAATTTAGTTTTTAGTCAAAAGTCCAGAAGGAGCTGGTTGTCCCATAGGTTTGTGAGTCTGGCTCATTTCAGAGGATCAAGTGCAGCACTTTGTAAATTCATAAATATTGCAAGAATTCAGTTACAGCACAGTCAACATGTTTTATTATACCTGCATTTATGGTATTTTAAAAAGTTTTTCATTGATTGCTATTTATGGTGAGCTCCTTGACGTTCAGATAAGTGGTTAATGTTGCAGTAAATAAGATAAATGATATAATTATCAAGCAAACTTTGATTAACTTGTCATTTCCTCCATTAAGACAACGTGTGACAACCAACCCAGACTGTGGGAACAAAACACATTAGTTATTATGTTTTTGTGACCTTAGACTTTCTTGCCCAACCAAGTAGACAGCAGAGCAATAAAGTGACTCATTCATCCCTCTATAGCCAACATATATTGCAAAGAAAATCCCAAAAACCTGTCCATCGTTGGAAAGAAATGAATACTGACTGAGCTCTGAAAGGATTGAACAATAAGTCAGAGATGATCGACGGCTGTTATAAGACCGCTAATACTTTCACTAAAACATAAGATGGATGCATTGAAGATTTGACTAATGTTGCCTAGTTTTCCCCAGTTTTTAAAAGTTTGGCAAAAAAGTTTCTGGTTTTACTATTCACTGTCTATGGGTTGTACATGCAGCAGGGGCATTTATAGACTGGCAGCTTTAAGGGTGCTTAGGGAGAGGTCATTCATATGTGCAAATATAGACACATGTATCATATCCATCACTCACACAACTTGTGTTTGTAGTTTTCAGACAATGATACCATTTTTTGTAATTGTTTCCTGCTGCTCTCCCACACTGTGCCCCTGATCATCATGCTCATTATTCCCTAATAAAAACACACAATGGAATGTTTTTGTGTGTGATATTGCATAATTCACTTTTGTATCTATAACAGGGGTTAAAGCAAAACATGTCATTTCTCTGAACATTTTTTATGGTCAAAATCAGTGTTTTGACACTTTTACACGTTTCTTTCATTACAAGGCCATTTAGAGCTCTGTTCTTCCATTTAAATGATGAACACCGGTCGATTAGTCCAGAGCTAAATGAGTGAGGAAAACTCTCCTCTGGGAAGTTATTAAAAAAGAACAGATCTAATTTCCTTTATTATGGTGTAATTTATGAGCTGTCGAGAGTTTTAGTGAGCATGATTATCATTAATATGTGCCTAAAAGACACTCACAAAATCATGTCTTCCATTCAATTTATGCATACAAGAGAGATGCCGTATGTTGTGGCCATAGACTGTATATATTAACGTATCTCCGTCGTTCTAACTAGTGGGCCAAAAATTGGGCTTTCATGGAGTGATTCAGAATGGCAGCGGGGGCTGGAAAATGTGAAAAAACCAAGCCCCGGCAATCCAAGATGGCTCCGTATTCAAATGAATGGTTTGTGCTCAGTGACGCTTTGTGCCGGCACGGGGGCTGAAAGATTAGCGGAACTCTCGCAAAGATCCATGGGAAACTCACTTGTATTTGGGCATCGTCTGGTCTTCCTGGTTCTGCGCAGTGGATGAGCTCCCATGATGCGTTGCGCGAATGTGGCTCTCACGCACGCGCACAGAGGGGCTCGGCTGCGCACTGACCAATCAGAGCAGTTCATCAAAGCGGGAGTTAGAGCGGGAGCCAGACGTGTGGATTTAAAGAAAACCGATGGATTTAATAAGAAAAAAAGTTGAGGATGACAAAGCACACTAAAATCCATACAAAATCCGATCTTTATGAAAGCTGTAGGTTCTCTGTCAGCTGAGGTCGAGCTGTTTTAGTTTACATTGAGTTCTATGGGGAAAATTTCTGGGCAGCCCGCGTGAATTTAGT